ATATACCGATTATGTGTTATGCAGTATATGCATCTATTTGTATGTTTTTGGAGGGAGAAACAGTGCCCCATTCAACGATTTCAGCAAAATTTCATCGTAATTGTCCATGCAGAATCTATGTAAGCAATTATTTATGTGACAAGTAGCAGATTTTCAATCCCCTGAATAATTAGAGCCATAATTTCATCCCATTAGTCTCTTTTGTTTCAGATGACCAGTAGAAGACTAATTAGTAAGATGTCATTTATTTATCAAATTTATAACTTGCACTCCTAAAAAATCTAGTTTACAATGATTCGCAATAAAAGTTAGCATAATTAATCAAATCAATAAAATTTCAAAATCCATTATACAAACCATAAATAACAATAGCAAAGATAATATAAACTTTCAGATACCAAAAATAACAAAATCACAATATTAAAACTAGATTGCTAAGGGAGAAAAGCGTGTATGTAAAATAGGTCTTTAGACTCTTTAATACAGTGTTTCTCAACCTTGGCAACTTTAAGACCTGAGGACTTTAACTCCCAGAATTCCTCTGACAGCTTGGCTGGCTGGAGAATTCTGGGAGTTGAAGTCCAGATGTCTTTAAGTTGCCAAGGTTGAGAAACACTGCTTTAATAAATCAAAGAGTGGGCTCCATAGATCTGATGCTGCAGTGAAAAAAAGCCGTCATAATCAATTGCAACTGGTTCGGTCTCTCAGGCATCAACTATATAAAACCCCTCAAGGACAATGAGAGTTCTCATAACATAAAAGGAAAGCTATACTTTCAGAAATGCAGGATTCTCCCAAAATTCTCTTATTCAAGTTGAGGCATAAATAAATGTATAAGCTAATAGACTGCAATGGCTTTACTAAAATAACTTTAGAAAAAATAGGCATCTTAATGTATTGTAAGTTGGTGCAGTATGTTTTTCACTGGTTCTAAATCAGTTTTAAAAATTGATACAGAACAAGCAATGTTTATTATTTTTAAATACCGGTAATACACATGAAGCTCAATCTAGTTTACTCTGCCACCTACTGGCAACCCTTAATAGTTCGCTCTTGATGCTGATTTAAATTGGGAAATTATGAAATATTTAATTTAAAAGAGGGAATGTAAGTTTATCGAACAAAAATCGAACTTTGTAAAGAAATAAAGCATAAGTTGCTACAATATGAGTCCTTAAAACATACATGGCACCATGCTAGTATAAGCCAAACTACTACCTCTTTAGTTATAGTTATATAAAGTTATTTTTATAGTTATATAAAGTTATATTAGAGAACTATACAGCCGATGACTCATTGGATCATCCTTTCAGAGTTGTTTCTTAGCTAATTTCCTTCAACAATGAGACAGTTTCTAGTGAATTATTTCACTGGAAAAGTTGGAATACATTCAGATATGTATTTGCCTTGAAAATAGCCCATATTGAAACATCAGCATGGGAAATGTTTTATATTTTGTATTATAAATTGTTTTATGATAATTTTTATGTCATAACATTGTTATAAAATTTGCCAAATTTCAATTCCAGAGGAGTCATGAATCCTGGATTTTGAATGCATTTTTATATTAGTCAATTTGATGTTATCTTGGTTCAAAACATTTTGCCCTAAAATGTTTAAAGACAAATCAGCTAAATGTTGGAAATGCCATCAGATACCAGGATTGTATTATCATATGTGGTGGACATATCCAGAAGCCATAAATTATTGGATTAAAATTAAATTATGGTTAGAAGAAATGCTACAACATATAGATTTAAAACCTGAACTGTTCCTATTGGGTATCCTACCAGAGAAAATTAGTAAAGAAAACACATATTTGATTATACATGTAATAACTGCAGCGAGGATAGTATTTGCGCAAAGATGAAAAGCAGAGAAAATCCCTTCAGAGGGGGAAGTAATTAAGAAAATATTGGATTATGCAGAAATGAATAGATTGACTTTGATAATTAAAGAGAGGAATTGGAATATTTTAAGATATGGGGACAATTTTACCATTGGTTAGAGAAGATATATATATATATATATATATATATATATATATATATATATATATATGGGCAAGGTTGTAATGAAACAAGGGAAGAAGAAAGGGTGGGGAGAATGTTACACTAAATGAATGGATAATACCAAGAAATGATCAATATAGGAGGAAGAAGAAGAAGAAGAAGAAGACACAAAAGATGTATGCAGATGATACACTGAATCATGTATTGTATGTTTGTCTATAAAAAATATGATTAAAAAAACATTTTGCCCTATTGATACACCATTTTACTCAATTAAAAGTTACAGGAAAGAAAATTTTAGTAGTGTATAGATAGTTAATACATTATTTCATGGTATTTTCCCTTTCCCTTTTATTACAATGATTTCATATACATAAACCAAAAACTGTACATATTACTAACATCTATTAATACACAGACCCATATTTTGGTAACCTTGGATCATTTTATTTTGTTTAAATTTGACATTTTCAACAATATAATTTCATTATAAGACATTTTGTTATTACATAAAGAAGAACATGCAGGGCTGTGCAATAATGCAATTTAATAACCTGTGCCTCTGGCCACAGCAATGATTGCATGCTTACATCTACAAATTGCATATATTCTTAAAGAACAGCTGCTATTTTGCACAATTCCAAAAGTAATCATTAGCATAGTAAGTGGCACACCAGCTATTTTCTGCTCAATTTTACATCTGCTGAGTAATTTGAAATACAGCCAACTAACAGCTCTTCTCTACAGAATGTTACTGTATAGTAAATTTAACCTCTCTTATTAAAAATGAGATTATGGCTTCTAAAAGAATATGCTGAAAGGAAGTCACCAGAATTGACTAAAATGTATAATATATTTTACTCTTTTTGAATATTTGTTCCTAGTTGGAATTTAGTCCTATGCTTTTGATGCCTAGATTTAAATTCCTTTTAACTGATGAGACAAACTTGTGAGGAAATATGAAGAGGATCAGGCAACAGGCTATGTTTACAGGACTCTTTCCCAGGATTAATTTAACTAGAGTTTTCACAAATCAGTTTGATTTTCTGTTACAAACTGAACCATACATTAAAAACATGGGTTAGTTCCCACAATATGTTAAGCTAAAATTTAATTGGACAGCTTGAGGCTTGGTGTATCATAAGAACATATCTACCATTTGGCAACCATTTATGTCATATGATTTTGTACAGATAAACTACATGAAGTTTGAGCAATTTGAAACTAAAGTGGTATTTAAATAAAACAGCTTAAGTTACCTTTAAATAAGAATGCACAAATAAAAGCTATATTTGTATTTGCCTCTCAGAAGTTGTACATGGACTTACAATCACAATTGAGGACAAAATTTCCATTACTAAGTCAGATTTCATTTTTATTTATTCTTGCACAACCCTGGCTCTAGTTGGAACCTCAAATTATTCTTCTGACAGTTGTTAAATGAATAATTGCAGTTACATTGTTAAGTGAATCTGACTTCTCCATTGACTTTGTCAGAACGTTGCAAAAGGTGATAACCTGACCCCGGGACACCACAATCATCATAAATACATGCCAGTTGCCAAGAGTCTGAATTTTTATCATGTGACCATGGGGCTGTTGCAACTGTCAAGTATGAAAACTGGTCATAATTCACTTTTTCCAGTGCTGTTGTAACTTTGGTCGCTAAACTAATTGTTGTAAATTGAGGACTACCTGTATAGACTTGACATCTGAAAGGCTTATCAGACAGGAGGGTATATTCTCCCTCCCCTGACAGCTTTAAAATCAAATATTGTCTGGTATTATTTTGGATTGTTTTAACAACAGTAGCCATTAAACATTTATGTATGTGCCCTTGTAAATTGTTTCTTTTCCTTGTCTATTGAGACTCACAGCCTAGATTTACATTATTTCCTGATTCCAGCGCCTTGTTTCTTCCAACCTAAACCTTTCATATCTGAATTCTTTACTATTACTAGCATGTTCTTGAAAATAAAAATATATTGGAAAGATTCAGCTGTAAAAAAACCTCTGTTTTCTGGAAAAAGTGATTTTATATACATATAAGCTTAAATACATTTTTTTTGTTTTAAATGTAATTTTTGTTGCAGATGCCAAGAGATTAAGCAGTTGGCGTGTCCTGGCTTTACCTCCATTCGTCCTCCTTTCCAATTCTACAAATCCTCCTTTGCCTCAAGAGATATTTGCTAATCCTCACTCGCATCTCTTTCCGTTTACAAGTAAGCAACGTGGAAGGGAAGCGGTATTAAATACACATTAAAGCACCCGGAGGCTCATCTCTGCCTCATTTTATCTCAACAATCTGATGGGGGGGGGGGAAATAAATATCGTAAGGCCTTCCCCATTCATTATTTATTTGGACGCTTATCTGAATATAAACATAAACCCACCTTATCCTACAGCGGTTACAACCACCTAGAGGACGAATAAAAGACGATTATAGAGATCTCTCCGAGAGATCAACATTAACAACCCCGCCCCCACCCCTTTCCTCCGCTAGCAAAGAAGGCGCTCCCGCTCGGGAGACCCGCCGGCAGTTGGAAAGGGCAGAGCCAGAGGGGCGGCAAAGGCAAACCCCCGTGCAGGCTTTGATTGGAGGCTTCTCGCGCAGGCGTCCGAGGCCCGGAGCCAAGTAGGCCGCGGGGCTTTTTGTCAAGGAAACGCCGGTGTTTACGGCTGTTGCGTCCTTCTCTGCTTCCACAGCAACCGCCCTCTTTTCTCCCCGTAGAAGACTTGCACGTTTTCGCTGGCCACGTCTCGTTCCAGCCAAGCGAAGAGTCATGCCTGTACGCTGGAAGGTGAGAGCGGGCTGCCGTCGTGTCCTCAGCGAGAGGCTTCTCCCCTCTTGCTCAGAAACTTAAAACTAGAACAAGCCCTCGGCTTCCGTTCTTTATCTCTTCTCTCCTCCCCTCGCCTGTACTTGGTATTGGCCGTTGCGTTATTGGTCGTTTCAAGAGAAGCGCCCATTGTCGTCGCTTTAGGGGTTTGTTCCCTCTCCACCAGCAAATAATCCGGGTCGGCGGCTGATGGTTGTCTCGCTGACCCTTCGCCAAGCCCAGCCTAAGTGGGCCCAGGATAGGCAGTGAGCTCTGAGTTAGTTAGCATGTGGTTACCAACGGGAATGAGCTGGCATGGGAAACTAGGATCAGTGGTAAGTCTTAAGGCTGGGTCTCTCCTTATTCACGGTCCTTATTCAGATATTAAAAGCTGTTCGACGACGGGAAACTCCATTGTCTGCTCTGCTTGGACTCAAATGGAAAGAATTGTAGTATAATAATAAATTAGTCTAATGCCTATAATACATTTAACATCGTTAGCGCCTGCCAGAGGAAAAGGTGGGAATGTTAGGTAAAGGCAAGGTTAGAATCAATTGTACCATTTAGAATAGAAGACGATTATCTTTGCATCTTGGGCGTGATATATTATGGTCTATCCCAGTGTAAATGTTACTGAAATGAATTGGAACAGCCCAAGAATATAGCAGAAAAGCCCTTGGATATTTATGGGATGAGGTGAGTTGAGCTGTGAGAAGTGCTATTTGGATTCTTTGCTTTGAGTTTAGAGAGGTGGTGAATTGAGCATGACATGATGTCCTAAGTTTTTGGAAATAAGGATGACAGTGTAACCATTGTGAGTGGTAAAGATAAAAAAAATACATAATTCAGTTTGCAGTAGTTCAGACAAAAGCTAATTTACGAAGCCACTGAAGTGTGAAATAAAGAGAAAGCTGAGTGGCTTTTAAGAAAAAGTAGACACATAATTTTCAAGGCATTTGAAATATATATGAATATTAATTTTGTTAACACTTTAACAAGCAATAAAAATTACATGGCACTTGCACATAGCTTATACAAACATTTTGTGCCTTTTAATTTATTTTTTCCTGCTTGTATTGATCTATTTTTATTTGCTCTGCAGATACAACATGTGTAAAATAGGCAGGTTTCAGATTTATTCTAACACAGTAGAATTTTACCCATGACAGTAGGTGTATAAAACATAGAGGTTGAAGCATACAGATAGTCCTCATTTAGCAATGACAATTGGATCCAGCAACTTTGTTGTTAAGCAGAAAATCATATGACTTCTGACAGACTTATGATGTCATTTCCCATTTGGTCAGTAAGCGAATCAATGTTTAATAACCATCCTAAAATCATACTAATTAAACAAGACATCATGTGACTGTGGTTTGCTTCTCTATTAACTGCATGTTGCAAGCCCTGTTGGGAAACATGCAAAATGGTAATTGCATGACTACAGAATACTAATAGTTATAAATGCATGCTGATTGCGAAGTGCCCAAATGATGATCACATGAATGTGGGATGTGACAGTTGTAAATGCAAAGACTGGCCACAAGGCTGGATCTTTTTAATACTGGTAAAGTAAAACTGTTGTTAAACAAGGCAATCAGTAAGTGAGGGTTATCTGTACTGAATCCAAATACTGTTTCTCAGCCTCATTAGAAGTTCATTCCGACTTTATAAGAAGTGATCTGACATCTAAACAGACCTCTCCAACCCTAATTTCACACTTGGAATAGTCTATTTGAATACTGGAATACAACTGATAAGTTTGGAATGGCTTTGGAATGAAATATTTAAAAGTTGAGACTTTGCAACCTTGAAATACTACTCACCTCTAGAAACAGTCTGTAGTCCTTCAAAAACAGCTTCTTTCAAAAATACCATCCCAGAATTTGGATCTTGGAGATTTGGATTTTAATTTTCTTTAATAGTTCAAGTTATATTCTTTCAGTTTGGTGTACTGTCTTGCAGGGTGGATTTGATTTAAATCGAGTTGATTTAAATCACAATTTAAATCATGATTTAAATCACTAGTAAAAAGGCTTGATTTAAATCAACTCGATTTAAATCATAATTTTTAAAGAGCAACTGTCATCTCTGCTACTCCTTTGACCCACTGTTGACTCACCGATAGTCCCAGTGTTGCAGAATATACAGCCTCATGCTACATAACTAAGCTCCATTTCATGCTGAATAAACTAAATTATTTATGTATCTTAAATAGAAAACTATCTCACGATAGATTTTTATTCCAAAAGTTTTTTATTAAAATAAATTCGATAAAAATCAAAAAAAATGACTTAAATCAAAAAAATCCGATTTAAATAAAAAAAATCTGATTTTTTTGATTTTTTTAAAAAAAATCATTGATTTTTATCCACCCTGCTGTCTTGTAATTATCCTAACCCAGCCCTAAACCTATACAGTTCTTTATAAATACAAAAAGAAAAGCCAATATCTGTGTTATCATTCCATTTGTTTCAATCTTTTATTCAATGGAGATGAATGGTCAGGAGTAGAGCATTAATCCACATTTTTCTTGTGTAACCAATTAAGCATTGAAACCTATTAAGTTATGAAATAAAGGAAAGCCACTTTATATCCTGTATAGAAATACAATATTCCCTCCCTCCCTCTGTTTAATACAGTTTTGCTCACTATTAACTTTTATTCTCTTGTAAGTAGTAAAATATTATTTAAAGAATAGTAATATGGAATATTAAACCACCTATGGAAAAGATCTCGTGAAGTATTCTTAAAAATTATGGATTGTTAATTAAAGAGCATAATGTTATATCTGAATTTGTGAATTATAAAACCTGAGCTTTATCATTGGCTTCCAATATAGGAAATTTGAGAGCAGTTAATTGTTAAGTAAAAGAGAGGGAAAGTAAGAAAATAATAAGGAAAACCAAATAGGAGATTGGCTTGCTCACTGCCCAGATATCTTGTATAGTATTTCATAAAAGAGTACCTAACTATTAGATGTGGAATGAAACACTTCTAATGGTCTCTCTTTATTAATATGTGGAATCCTGCAGATGAAATTACCTATTATGTGCAAAAAATACTTCATGACATGAAAATATTTTTTGCTCAGTAGTTGAACAGAATTTCAAACTGCTTTTAAAATTAAGTTTAAGTCTTGGAAAAAATTAACCAGCTTCAGTCTATTTCCACAATGAGGTTAATGCCACCTTATAAACTGGACAAAATATATACCATATTTACAGTTGCTAACCTCACTGTGAAGTTTAAGTTATAAGTGCAGCATCATGTTATTAAGAGTAATATTCCCATCTGTAAGCAAATTGCTACACTTGCAAAGACAGGGCTTCTGACAGATAATGTGCCATATAGAACATTATATGTGATGATGTAGATCGATTTTTTGTTCTAATATGTATTATAGCCCTTAATTATTAAATAATAACTTATCTAATGTTTATAATACCCTTTAATTGTAAATTAACAGAACAGTTATAACAAAAGCACTTACCCATCCAGAATCTTTAAAGAAAGCTAGTTGCTTTAAAAAAATCTCAACATATGATTGTTTTATCAACCCTTTGAAATAACAGCAGCCCCAGACGAAGTGACTTATGACCTGTACTTTGCATTTATGACCATCTCTCTACTTCTATTGTCTTGTGATTGCAACTTGAACACTTAGCAACAGGATTTCATTTATAATCAATTTCAGCATCCTGCAATCATTGTCACAATTTGCAACCATTTTTTGCCAATTTTTGGCAAAAATGACCACGGGGGTAACTGGATTTGATTAATGATGACATGATTCACTTAATAACCTTGATGATTCGCTTAATGATTGTGTAATATTGTCCTAAAATCAGGTCAACTCAACTTATGACTAGTGACAATGACAGAAATTCTGGTCCCAATTGTGATTGTAAATCAAGGAGTACCTATATAATTTCAAACATGATGTGAAGTTAGATTCTGATGGTTAAGTTATCTGAAGTAGAAATTTAATAAGTTTTGTTTCCTTTCTACAAGGCATTTCCTATTAATACTAAAGTAAATTTTACTATCTGAAGGAACTGCATATACATAATAAAATACTTAAGGAAATAAGATAGGCATATTACAAATGTGAATGTAACCACGTTTATGCAAAAGTGTATTCAGGTAGAATCAAATCATATAAATAGGAAAGCTTGTTGGCGAAATCTTTTTGTCTTTATTTTTTACTGTTATGAAAGATTATTTGACCTTTGATATAAATTAAAAATGCTTACATCAATTCTGCCAGGTTGTGACTTAATGAGTTTGGAAGAAATAAGGCATAAAATTACTATTTCGCATTTTATATTATTGTAGGGTTTAAGTGAGTACAAAAGAAATTTCAAATGGAAGCCGTCAGAACAGCCTAGACTCTGCAGTTCTACACATGAACAAAAGTGCCGATGGGCTGGCCTTCGATCAGATGAGTTTGGTAAGACAAATTAAATACTTTGTGATGTATTTCTTGTATAAAAAACACTTGTAATAGTTACTGCTTTCTACATACTAATTATCTAGATTTCATAAAATAAATTTTATCATGCATTGGGGTAAACACAGTTTCATAGTTTGGATTCATGATACCATTAAATACCATTGGATACCATTAAAACACAACAATGTTAGATACTAAATTAACTTGGTTAAGACTGAAAGAGAATATACTTAGATATTTGGTCAAAATAGTTAATTATTATTCATTGTTTGATGTGTATTTGGCAATGAAAAGTAAGACTGAAGGTTAATATACTACTAGGTGTTATCCAAACTAAAAGAAGCATTTCTTTGATGAAATGTTTATTTATATATTTTTTTTCTTCTGCAAAAGAAATAGAGTGGTGCTCGTGTTCTTTTTCAGAATTTTCAGAGTATTTGATATTACATGTATTACAGGGATCACAAGAGAACCAAATTTTATTTCCAAGAGAAGAGTGCCTTATTATGACACGCAAATTTCAAAATCTTTTCAATGGAATGGAGGTAATGGCTTGGAGAAAGATGTGTTATCAGAATTGGAAGTCAGTGAACCAGTCAAATTGCACAAAACCGACAGCAAGGATGTTGAACTGAATAAGGACTCAATTGAGACATCGGATTCACCTAGGCTTCCTGAAAAACTGCATCTCAACTCTGCAGGATCTGGACCTGAATCAACTGAAGCACTTAGAAAAAGCAAGAAGTCAGTGCCCCAAACTCCAGTGCATGAAAATAAAATATTAGCAGCTACCAAAAAAGAATTAGGAAAAACAGATCATGGGGTAGGAAGTACAAAAAAAAGTTTGATTTGATGTTGTGAGTTAAAGCTCAGAAATAATTTATTGTAACTTTATTAATATGGACAATACAAACTTTCCTGCCTGGGTGCATTCCATATTCTTGAATTTTAATTTGCAGAATTTTCCACAATGGAAAATTGCTAGAATGGCAATTGCTGAAAGTTCTGGAAATCAGAGTCTACATATCTGAATAATGCTCAGTTTAGGAAAAGTAATCATTACGCTAGGAGAGGTGCAAGAATCTTTGGATTCTAAGAAAGGATAGAGCAAACAATCCCCTTGAGGGCTTGGAAAAAGAAGGGAATAATGTTTATAGAAAGAGGGTCAATATAAAAAATACGAGATTAAAGAATTATAAATAACATAAAAGAAAATTCAAGGAAGAAATATGAAGAAAATTGTAATGTCCTGCAATTTTTTACTAAGAATTTAATCATACAGATTTAATAGATTTTCCCTAAACTCCTGTATAAGTAATATAAATTAGCCAAAAGGAAAAACATAATAGAAAAGAAGTAGTCAAGAAAGCTAATGTCGACACAATGTTAAAATAATTGTTTACAGGTAGTCCTCAACTTATGACCACAGTTGACCCCAAAATGTATGTTTCTAAGTGAGAAATTTGTTAAGTGAGTTTTGCCCCATTTTACGACTTTTCTTGCCATTTGTTAAGTGAATCACTGCAGTTGTTAAGTTAGTAATACAGTTGTTAGGTTAGTAACACAGTTGTTAAGTGAATTTGGCTTCCCCATTGACTTGGCTTGTCAGAAGGTTGCAAAAGGTAATCACATGACTCCGGGACACTGCAAACGTCATAAATGTGAGTCGGTTGACAAGCATCCGAATGTAAATCACGTGACCATGGGAAAGCTGTAACAGTCATAAATATGAAAAATGGTCATAGGTAACTTTTTAAATGCCATTGTAACTTTGTACAGTCACTAAATGAACTGTTGTAAATCGAGGATTACCTGTACAGGCATATTGTTTCATTATTCAAGTAAATAAATTGCCACTGACTTTATATGAAAGCCTAAATATTCCCAATGCTTCTGTCATGTTAAATCAAAGGCAGTTTTAACCAGTAATGGTAACAGGAACAGGGTTTAAATGTAAAAAGTATGTTTCCATGTTTGTGTATAAGCAAGCTTGTAGAATGTCATAACATACTTTTCTTTTATCAGCATAGTCCATCTTAGTATTAATGATGATAAAAACTTCTGATACTAGACCACAAAAAGATATGACATTCTGAATATATTATTATTCAGAGATCTCCGACCTCCGGGTGTTTCGCTGTGCATTGAAGACCCTGTTGTTCCGCCAGGCCGGACTATCAACACAATAGTTTTAAATTGGGGTATTTAAATTTATTGGGGTTTTAAATTTGAGCCACTTATTTAATTATTTTAAATTTTATATCATTGTTTTGTCTGTGTTTTTAAATAGGCTGTACACCGCCCTGAGTCCTTCGGGAGAAGGGCGGTATAGAAATAAAATTATTATTATTATTATTATTATTATTATTATTAATATCGGTTGTCAGCTCAATAGAGTTCTACAGAGGAGAGCAGGCATGAATATTTCACGATCAAGAAGCTTCCCTAGAAGTTCTGAGTATCAAAGAGAGTTTGTTTGGAAAACCCCACAGAAGCTTTCTCCAGTCCTTGCAGCAGATCAGGTAACTAAATATTTTAAGAAGTGTTTTCATTTTTGAAAAGTTTTGCACAACTTTATAAATCTTAATTTGAAAATAAGGCTTTTTCCAGAGTTCCTTTGTAGGTAGACTAAAGTCTTAATAAAATAATTTTGTGATTCTTGTTCAGTGCAGATTTACTATGCAGGAAAATATCTTCATTGGGGCTTTTTTCAGTTATTGTTTTGTTGTATTGCATTTTTGATGTATTACATTGCATGTGAAATGCTCCATTTTGTTCCAAATACTGTATAATTGATTTTATTAGCTGACTTCTCAGGTATATACAGTTGTATTTTGAGTAGTATTGCCTGTAACTAAATGGCTGGATCGTTCCCTATCAACTGATTAAGACTTTTCTGCTGTGCAGTAATGTAGTAGAGATTAAACATCTCTTTAATTTCAGTGGCAAAGTTACTTAGCTTTATAAAAAAAATAATGTATTTTATAAACCAAAGTTTATTCACAGATCAAGTCAATCCATTCCTCCATTTAAGTCTCCTGTTATTATTCCTGAAACTGAATATGAAAGGAATTTCAAACCTTCACCCCCTGTAAAACAACTGAAACAATGCTTTCTGGAAGAGAGTGAATGTCCTAGATCCGAATCAGTAGAAATCTCCTCTGGAGAAAAGGTATTATACTTGATTTATTATCTATTAAAGCATTATGCTTTAATAGATAATAAATTAAAAAGCATTATGCTTTTCAATTAGCAATTTCTATACTTAGAATGTCTAATTTGGTTGATTGATTTCATGTTCTTGTCCTGGTGATTGCAATATATAAAGAAGTGATGCATATTTTAAAAGATTTTTTAAAAATATCACATAGATTTTTTTTTAAGTTCTTGATATTTTTTTGGTCTTATTCATTCATTAAAATGTTAAATATTAATTCAAACATTTCAAAATATATTTAAATATATTCAAAATATATATAAATTAAATCTTCATTCCATCAAGTCAAAATTAAAAGCATGGTATGAAAGATATTTACAGATAATGATAGATGATTTGGCATGAATATATGAATAAAAACACTCAAATTTGTTAGATCTAGAATATTGGGAATAATATCTTAAGTAACCTAAAAGGCAATGAAGTAAATAAAAATGTGAGTAAGTGTGAAAAACAGTCACTTTTTTCAGTGCCATTGTAACATTGAATGGTCACTAAACAAGTGTTGTAATATGAAAAACATGTGCTTAATGATTTCTATTTATGTCTATTTATTTCTACTCCTATTTCCTGATCATATTTCATTTCAATCAAATGAATATACATTTTCCCAGCAGCATAGTATATTCAAATTATTTCTGACAATTATTGAGTTTCTGAAGTTCACGAATATCATACTAAGAACTATAATCACTAAGTGTTCTATTGGAAACATTTTAAAATATTTATATACTTCATAAAATTAAGATTAATCATTGCATTTAGAAGTTAGATGTTTAATAAATATAGTTATATATTTTAATGTTATAATTTATACAATCAACAATAAAATATATTTTTTAAAAAATTTAGAATGAAAAAAATAAAACCACTTCAAAGACACCAGAAGATTCAAATCAAAATGAATTAGAAACAAAGCAGAAAGAAGAAAAACAAAACCAGAAGTTGCTGTGTTCACATAGACATTCTAAGTAAGCATATCAAAATATAAAATGCCTTGAATTCTCTTTTAACTACACATAGTTGTTTAAATATAGTCAACTTTGAAAATGAATAGAAGGAATGTTTTGTTATGTTTCCCTTCTTCCTTGTGTTTAAGAAATAGGGATTGCTTAATGTCCCCATATGAACCCATGGAGGATTTGGAGATTTCCTGATTCGTCTCTTAGTTTATCTCTCTTTAAGTTTATTCTGTTCAGTGAAATAAAAACCCAGTTTAATGTAGTGGTTCTGGTGCTGGCCAAAAATCTGGTTTTCTTGAGACCTTTATATCTCTCTTGAAAAATTAATTTTTGTCAAAGACACACTCTTCCCACACAAATGTTTGCTGAATTTCTATTTTATTCTCTGTATTACTTTGATATTTAGCATTCTTTTTTTTTATTGCAAAAGTTTTACAATTACATTTTCACCCCATTTCCCCCCCAACCCACCCCAAACTCCCCAACCTAACCCTCCCAACCCCCCCTAACCCTCCCCTCCCCCCTGACTTCCACAGAATATAATCCCATCAAAATCCCCTTTTTTATAAAACCTGAACCCCTCCATCCCCCATATAATTTTTCATCTTCACAAAATTCAAATATTTCTATTTTTATATAATACTTTCAGTGAAAAGCTATTTGATACTTCCTAGGATATTTAGCATTCTTATTTCCCTACACAATTACAAAGTAATATTTAATTCTTCTTACTTTCAACTATGTTTTTCTAGGAAAATGAATACAGAATATAGATCAAAATTCTTGTCTCCTAGTCAGTACATCTATAAACAAGGAGCCTGGGTCCATGTCAGAAAAAATATACCTTATCAAGTGAGTATATGATTATTTCCAAGGAATTCATTTGAAAGTTTTGATATTGCTTCATCTTTTGAAAGTTGTCCTTTTAATACATGGTATTGTATATTTTATAAATAGTATTATACGGCAGAAAAATGTAGAATAAAACGTTATTACTGAACATGGTAGAACTTAAGTATTGCATTTAATCAGCTGCTATTTTGGATCTCTGCTCTTGTTTCTCAGAAATGGCTTTCTTTGTGCACCCACTCTTTCAATAATTCGTTTTCTACTATAATTATATCTCCCTCATTTGATTTGAAGTCTAATGTTACAAGGTAACTCTCTTCACTCAATTTTGATTGGTAAATGTGCTTTTGTAATTTTGTTGATTTTATTTTACTTTTCATGTATCTGCACAGAGAACAAGACTCAATCACTGAATAGGCAATTTTGTTTTCAAATATTTGTCCATTAAAAGTTACAGAGGGTTTCCTGAATTAGTTCGAACTGGATTTCTGTAATCAAGAAGACTAAAATAGAGATTAGTTTCATGTGTTACATCTCTTTAATCATTTTTTATGTGCCTAAACTTTGGCATTCTGCTTTGTTATTGGATAGAGGAAATAATTAGCTTTTAGAGCAATCTGAATAAAACTACTGTCTCTTGCAAGTTCTCTGAAATTTTTCTCATCAACTGATTTATTGATGGGGTTTGTATTTATGAAAAAAAGATAATTTTGATCTAAAAAGAAGACAAGATAATAAATATTTAAACAGAAAGATCCTATGTGATGCTGATATTTTCTAACCTGTCATCCTAGAGTTAATTATTTCAGCTGAACGATTTCCGAAGATCTCCCCTTATGTAAAAACTATATTACAAAAAGGGCATTATCGGATAAAAAATAAATTCACATTAATTGAATATTAAGAATTAATTAAGGAGAGAAAAATCTGCTATCTAGGATTGAACTCTAAACCTTCAGAGTGAGAGGTGAGTGTATTCACCAACAGGCCATCACACCGCTCTCTCTTTTTCCACTAAAAAAAAGTGAGCGGAAGAAATAAGCGGACAGTGAAATAACTGGACAGTAAAGACAGTAAAGAACAGAATGATAATTAACAGCCCTCAGAATTCAAGCTTTCTAGCAGGTTCTATAGCAGTGTGCATTTGTTGCTTGTTCCCAGTGTTCAAGACTTTCTAACCTTTTCAATAAATAAAAGATAATTTCTTCTCCCACCATAAATAATAATCTTATTTAATTATTGATAATTAATCTTCATTTTGACTTAATAACATTTAATGTAAAATCCATAAAATGATATAGGAAATTGGTAGGAGACACTAAATACTTTAATGCTATGCAACTAATCTTAATATTGCTGCTGTCCTGTTTTTGATGCTCTTGGGACATCTGTTGGTTTCTGTTTCTGTTACATACTGTACTCTCTGCAATTTTTTAAAAATGAGAAATGCTGTCATCACATTTTGAGGAGAACCATGTAAAGGAAACCACCATCGGCAGCTTCTGAAACAGCTGTCTGAATTTTGCAAAGATTGGGGCTTATTTAATCATTCAAAAAGAAGTGCTTTATTTGTACTCCTAGGTATTGTGAAACAATTTGATGAAACAGTTATGCTAGGTTATAAAATAATACAAGTGGTGTGGCCTGTTGTGAAACAACCACCACTGAAGCTAATTTAAACTCCCTCACAAATCACAAAGAACCACAGAACAAAATCCAGAAAACTTCAATTTCTCCTACGTTGGCTAAAGTCAGCATTCCCTAGTAAAAATTAGATTTAGGGAACAGTAACAAAGGAGCTACTGTTTATTTAATTTGGTAGACTGATGTAAAAATGGAGATTAGTTTTTGCTGTTCATTATCAGTTCAGAAAATGTACTATGCATCATTTTACAATTGTCAAGTATTTATTCAATCTAGTGGATTGGAGTAATACTGTTCATTTGATATGCTTTATTTTTAAGGAAGTTAAATTACACTTCTGTAGTGTGAACTCTAGGAGGCAGGAGAATAACAGTCATAGCAGAATGAAGAAATCATTTTAGTTTTTGAAGTAAATTTGTAATATTAATACAAAATTAGTAAATAAATATTGTTTATTTTTGTATTCCTCTCCTCAGGGTTCTCAAAACACCCTAAATACCATGTGGTATGTGGAGGTTGGTCATGTCTAAGTTTTTCATGTTTGGGGAAATTATAAAATTTATGAATCATAAAAAAACTATTGTTATATTAAGCATATGCATAGTTGGAGTCCTTTTGATGCTTGCTGAGTAATTTACTGATCCGTGATCTTTGGCATGACTGCTTAAAAGAAGCATTTTTAAAAATATATTTTCCTTCGATATTTGTGCTGCAATGTTTGTGCATTGTCTGTGACATGCTGTTTTGTGCTTTTGGTGGCTGTTAATTAGCCAACAAAGTTGACAAAAAAACCCTTCCATCAATAACAGTGTGAAATCTTCATATCTAGGTGAAAGAACTTCGAGAGAAAGCAGAAGCTTATAAGCAGAGGATACAAGGAACCCACTTTTCCAGAGATCATTTAAATCAAATCCTGTCAGATAGCAATAGACTGTGGGATTTGTCCTCTGAATCCACTGTGGAAGAAACCATGAGCAACAATATCAGAGCACTTGACTTAGCAGGGTAGGAAATTAGACATAGGAGAAGGTTGTGTTTTTAGAAGTGTGATATTTTGGGATAGAAAATTAAACAGGGCTGGGCCTGGTTAATATTTAGTTGGAAAACATCCAGGCAATCCCTTAGCTATAGGCTAGACTGGAATTTTTTTAAAAAAGTATCTTGAAAGAAAGTGATGTATATCAATCATTTACTGCATGAATATATCCATGAAATTATTAAGAATCAGGCTACATCCAAAAACATTTTAACCACAATATGAGCATATTATTGAATATTTTTGACTTTTGCACATTTTTTCACAAGTAAATTTGATTAAGAATATGTAAAATAGATAAGGTCCTTGAACACTGTATTTATGTGTGAATTTACATGTACAGTATGTGTACAGAGAATTCAAAGAGATTTTAGATACTAACAAAGATTGTCAAGCACAGTAACTGTTTCCCCCTTTTCCTTTATTTAGCAAATTGCTAGCATATATTGCAAAACTCCTTTGAAAATCTATTCTTGATTTTCAGTTCAAGCCTCTACTGTCACAGAGAGCTACCGATAGTTGTATAGTTCTTAGGTCGTCCTCATTTGGCTTGCTTTATTACTAAATTTGCAGATGAGTATAATTAAAATATAAATGTATTTAAGTTGATACAACTGTCATTAGTCATATCATTGAAGAAGTCCCAAATATTTCTTACAATATATAAATGGCTACTAAATCTTACATTTAATAAATTGTTATTCCTTATTTAGGATCCCTGAAAACAAACTATCTTCAGGTCCTAAAATATTGGCACAACCTGCGCAGCAAAATAGCACTGGGAATTTAGGTGTATCAGATGCTCTTACTATTCCTGTCAAGCGGCGTCTAGTTTGGGATGAATCACATGATGATGAGCAACAAGAAAATCTGTCGCCTATATTAGGAGAATGCAAAGAAGAAGAAAATAAGCAAGAAATTGGTGAAGTTAAAGAAGTGGAAAAAAATGACAAGGATGCCAGTATAAACAATCAGCAAAAGTAAATATCTGAAATATTATTTTTCCTGTTTGGAGTTATGGGGCTATGATTAAACATCTCTTACCCGTGTTTCCCCCAAAATAAGACCTGGTGTTATATTTTTGGGGCTCCAAAATAAGCACTAGGGCTTATTTTTGGGGAAGCACAATTTCAGGGTGATCAGCTTGGCTAGGTACCTCATCCCCTGGCACACACACAAGAGGTGGTAAGTGCGTGGGGACTGATGGTATCTGGCAGCAGCTGCAGACGGTCCCTTGGTCGGTGCACTCGGGCTGTGCAGCCCGCACAGCACAGGTGAGTTGTTCCCCTGCCCAAGCAGCAGATGGGGAGGGTGGGGGGTAGGCAGGCGATTTGGACGCACTGTGTGGGCTGTGGAAAAGTTGAGAATTGGTGGGCCGGAGCAGGTGGCAGCACTGGAGGCAGAGGCACCTTGGATCTGGCCCGTGGGGCCACTCTGGAAACAGTGAAGGACCAGCCTGTGGTGCCTCTGCCAGCGAAAACAGAGCTCAGGAGGGTTGTGTGCAGTCCTCCCGAGCTTTGTTTTCATTGGCAGAGGGTTGCAAGAGGCCGTCGCAGCCGAAAATGGTGCTCAGGAGCCTGTTTTCACTGGCAGAGCGCTCGGGCTGCCTCAGGCGCCGACACGAGTGACGAGCTGGCCATGCCCACCGTGACCACGCCCACCCTGGCCCCCCAAGCTCAAACACAACCTTGATGCATCCCTCAATGAAATTCAGTTTGACACCCCTGCCTTAAGCAAATGTTCAAATAGCACTCTCATTTGTATATTGTCACTTCTAATTTTGATTTGCAAAGTTTGATAAAGCAGTCTTTTTATGATTTGAATGCAGCTATGAATAATGACTTACTGAAATTAAAGATGATTCACTGACTTAATACAATGTTTTTTTAAAGTAACATCTGTTTAAACATATGAAGAAAAATTTCATAATTATTTCATAGATATTTATTAAGATAAATGTATCATTTGAAAATTATTGTCTGGGATAACATTTAATAAACATTTTTAGGACAGTAAAGTAACAGTGTAAAAAATGATTGCAGTTGTATTCTTCAAATGTAATAAAGGATAAAGCACAGTTTAGAAAATGACAAGATCAGTGATTGAAAACTGATCTGTAATTATTTTGATTGAATGACAAAATTTACTCTAGATTTTATAACAAAATCCCAAATAATCTTCAAAAACAATTACAAATTCAAAAAAAGAAACAGAATTTAGAGATTGGGGATAATAACTTGGAAGCTCTGTTGTGATACTTTGTGACTCAAATAATTCAGAACTTAGAACTTTTAATGCTGACTCGGGATTTTAAATTATTGTTCATTGGATTATTATATTTTGTCACATTTCTTATTTATTTTGCCATGGAAAATATAAGTTCTTCAGAAGGCAGGGCAGATTCTTCAGAATCTTTAAGAGCACGTGGTAGGCTTCCAACTCCACAACTTAGAACGCTTGGTGGAATCCAAAGAACACATCATGATCTGACAACCCCAGCTGCAGGTAAAAAGACTGGTAGTTTTTATTTAACTTCCTAAAATATAAATTAACATGCACCCTAAGAATTCATTTTATATTAAATTAATTTTAAAAAGAGAATAAAATGTGATGATGAATAGATTAAAGCCAGTCTAGCCCAATATTCTGCTCCAATGTGAATGTAGAAAATAAGGAAGTTGATCATCAATGTTATCTCAGCAATGACTACCAAGGTGCTCCTGGAAAGTCTACAAGCAGAATATGAATTTAGTAGCTTCCCTTTTGCATTTCTATACATCTACTATATATGCAGGTGGTATAGTTTCTTAAATATATAATATAGCCACAATTAGCAACCCTATTGTTCATTTTTATTTTAGGAGGTGCTGTTTTAGTATCTCCTGAGAAAGGGAAGCATTCATCCTTACTGCAAATAGAAAAGGAATCTTCAGAAAAGCAGTATTTGGGAAATAGTCAAGTTTCAAGAGAACAAATAAAAGGAAAAACTAACACGGTAAGGTATAATTGTTGTAAGAAATATTTGTAATGTCCTTTTTTGCTTCCTATAAAATATATAATTACAAAAGAAATTATAATTTTGTCAAATAAGAAACTGTAAAGTAGAACAGATAGTTCTTGATTTAGGACCATAATTGGTCATAAGTCTCGATGATTGTAAATTGAAGCACCATATGACAGGACCTGATTTTACCATAGATTTTATGGCAGTCATTAAGTGAATCACTCAATCATAAGTGGCTTTTTTGCTACAAACTGACAAAAACGGTAGCACATTGCAGTTTTGTGATTGTAGGATGCTGCAACCAGTTCTAAATATGAGCTGGTGGCCAAGTGCCTAAAATGCAGTTGTGACCGCTGTGGGGATAGTGCAACATTTTTTAATGGCTGGAAGTGTTTTATGGACTATAAAGCACCCTTTCCAAGGCCATCATAACTCCAAACTGTCATTAAATGCCAGTTGTAAGTCAAGGACTACCTGTAACACTGGGGAAATTATATATAATGAAATCTGTAACAGTCTATTCCCTGTTTTAAATTTGATTTAATTGATTAGAATTTGTGATATGTAGAAGAATGATGTAGGGAATAATTTGTATATTTACTCCAACACCCTTTATCGTAAATCTTGTGTTTTTATCTTGGCAAACCATTCTTGCTTTCCTCAGACTTTTGTATCAATTTATATTTTGGCTTTTGTTCTTCATTATCTCACCTCTTTCATTTTGACAGTCTCACTCTTTGCAACTATGACCTTCTAAATTTTATCTTAGCTGTTAATCGATTTATTCTTCTTCCACATATTGGTTGTATAGTTTGATAGACATTTACTTTCTCTTTATGACCAAACTGCCTAAACAAACATTTTGTACTCGTTATAACCATATATCCATACTATCAATAAACATATGCAACTGTCACTTCAGTATAACAAAATGGGCAGCACCATAAAAATCACAGTTGATTTTATTTATTTATTTATTTATTTATTTATTTATTTATTTATTGGTTCGATTTATATGCCGCTTTTCTCCGGAGACTCAGGGCGGCTTACAATGCGTTAAGCAATAGCCTTCATACTTTTGTATATACCTGCTTAGTAGGGCTTTTGGCCCACCCAAGCGGTGTTCTTTTTTATACAAAGTCAGTTTATTGCCCCCACAATCCAGGTCCTCATTTTACCTACCTCGGAAGGATGGAAGGATGAGTCAACCTTGAGCCTGGTGAGATTTGAATTCGCAGTAATTGCAGGCAGCTGGCAGCTAAGTGCTACTTAACAGCACTTTAGTCTGCTGCACCACCAAGATTTTGTTTCTTTTTATATTTATTCTTTGCAATAGCCACACTTTTTAACCACATTTCCAAATCTTTCCATTTATCAATATACCCATTCTTTTAATTTAGTAAATATTTTTTCCAATTTACATAAATTGATCTACTAGCTTGGTTTTATCATTTAGATATAACTTGCACTTATTGTCTCCTTTTTCTGTGTTAATTATCTTGATAAATTACTTTTCAAATGTAAACTTGTGTTATACAACATACTGAATAAATCACTCAGGTTTTCAACATGGCACCATCTCTATAAAAAAAGTACATGGATTTTCACATTCCCGAACAAAATTTCTTTAATGTTACTACAAGCATTTGTACATTTATACTTCATGTCTCTATCAATAAATCATCCAGGGTGACAGTGTACTTCTGTCAGCAAAATAACTGTCTGAAAACTGAATAGAAAGGAACGAAATTTGGTATAAATGGAGAAGGTATTTTTTAAATTTAAAAAATAAACTTGCAGCTGATGAAAAAAATACTGCAGGAAAAAAGTCTCCAATATATCACTATGGGAGAAAGCTGTTGACCCCTCCATCCTGCCTCCAATCAATGACTCAGAGTGGACCATATGCACATATACACACAAGGAGGAGAAATCTGACACACAGAGCAATATTGTATTTAATTACATAGAAGAAAACACACTTTCTATGTTCATTTCTGGTAAAGGAGCTGTAAAGAATTCAAAAAGCCATGCTTAGCATGCTTTTTCTAACTTGTTATTAACTCCGTCCCATTGCTGGAAGATCCTTTAGTCCTTTTCATAGCTTCCTAAACAGTTTTTTAAAATAGCTCTACATTTTAAATGCCTTTTTTAACCCTAATTGTTCCTTGATTTCTTTGATTACATTCTTTGCAAGTAATTTTTGTCTATGTGCGTATTATGTAATATCTTTCTCTTACAGTTATTTTTTAAAGGACCAATTCTTTTATATGCATTTTATTCTCATGCAAAATTCCTTTAACTTCATAATTCTACTAGGCATCCTTATTTGTATTTCCAATTAGCATCATTCTTTTCACTTTGTTCTAAGAGGTTTTCATGTCCTTTTTGCTTGAGTCACCTTTTTCATTCTGTTTGGAGATTACAGGTAGTCCTCAGTTATGACTATTTGTTCAGTGACCGTTCAAAGTTACAATGGTGCTGAATGAAATGTAATTACAACTGGTCCTTAGGCTCTGGCTGTTGCAGTGCCCCCCTGGTTACATGATCAAAATTTGGGCACTTGCAACTGGCCTGCTTCTATGACCAGTTGCAGCATCCCCTGGTCACATTATGCTGCTCTGGTGCTTATTCTCCCACCTGCCTATCTCCTCTCCATCTGTACCTTTCCCCGTCCGCCCTCTTCTCTGACTTTTGTTGTCTTGCTGGTCTGGGTTTCAAGGGGCTTGGTGAGGGCACAGATCTGGGACATGTGCAGCTGGGTAGTGTAATTTCATCTGCCAAAGGGAGGGAGGAGGCAGTGGGATGGAACTTATATATATATAAATTCATTGCAAGATCCATAATTCTTTTTGGTAATTGGGTAGAATTGGAACTAGTAATTACATATTCATACTGAAAAATTATATTTAATATAATTATATATTTATTTACTATATAAATTATAGCACACAACTACATGCAGGATTTCTGAAATCTCTACATAAGAAAGCAGTTGCTGTAAGGCACCTTATAGTAAATAAATGAGATAACAAAGCTTTTTAACAAGTTGTATTAGAGATTGCAAAACTTTCCAGATTCACAATGCCTTGTAAATGCCTTTATTTCAAAGTTGGAAGTAATTTATTTCAAAGTTGGAAGTATTCTAATGCTATTTTTATGATTGAATGTTTCAAAATAACTGCACAAAATGTGGTTGGCTCAAAGCTTGAAAACCTTTTGCTAAATTTGGAATAGGTATTTCAAATTCAGTTCAGACCATTTTGAATTTGAAATGGAGTATTTTTAGCTTCAAACATTTCAAATTTGGGATGAGGTATTTCATATTTGAAACATTTAGAATTCAAAAACTTTTGCACATATCTTTGAGTTATTGATAAGGCATACAAAATGGAAGCATGGCTGATTGCTTTCATTTAATGACTTTAAACTATTTTCACTTGTTAAAATACCAGTTATTACTATGGCCTTTGGGTTTTTTTGTTAACAACATTAGGGAATCATAGCAAATAACAGAATTATTTACAATGAGAATATTTGTTTTGGCATTTTAGGATGAAGAAAAAACTGTGACTGATTCCTCAGTTGCAGGGCTAAAAACTTTGGACCCTTTGCCTCTACAAATAGATCAGTACTCCAATCAAGATACTTCTGGTAAAAGAAACTGTGCAACATTAATGCATTCAGAGCAGATACCTATAGTTTCAGAAACGAAGCTGTCTAAGGCTTCTGCTGTACCCTATTGGAGTCCATTTTGTCGCATTCAAGGAAGTCTCCGAGATCCAGAGTTTCAGCATAATGGTTGGTTTGCATCATACACCTTTATATTTCTTTAGATTGACCTATCTATTTAAGATAACTTTAGTATTTTGTTGCAAAAACAGTAACCAATCCTCAAATTGCAGTAAATTGAAATCTAGGTTTGTAACGAACAGGACTTGATAGTGTGATTATCCTTTGAAGAATAACGATCAAAAGACGAATATAAGAATATAGTTACTTAGACAGAAAGTTACTGTTGGATTTAGATTCAGGTAAATGCTTGCAGCTATGTAGATTTGTTTTCTCAGTCTAGTGCCTTCCCGTTGTGCTGAATTTTCATAAACCTTAGAGCAACTTGTTACAGTCAGGTTTAGGAATATGTGGCATATCTGGATATGATCCAAACTGGATCTGTTTTGGAGTGATTTCATAACTGTTTTTTTACTAAGCAGCTGGCAATGTTTTATTTAAAGGGACGTTGGTCTTACTGTGATACGTTCCTTCTCGTAGTGTAAAATGGGAGATGCCAGGCTGGGTTATTCTATACTCTAGCTCAGTGTTTCCCAAACTTGACCCTTTGAAGATGTATGGACTTCAACTCCCAGAATTCCTCAACCAGGCATACTGGTTGAGGAATTCTGGGAGTTGAAGTCCATACATCTTCAAAGGGTCAAGTTTGGGAAACACTGCTCTAGCTCTATGGACTGAGTTGAAACTTCTGAAGATCCGCCTCCCTGGTGTTGTTCCTTCAGTTTTGACAATGAAGACGAAGCGAATGGAAGGCCATCTGAAAGACAGAAAGAACACTTCCCTCCCAACAGGAGTCGGGACAGACAGACAAAGACAGGGTGGGGCTGGCACCTCCCATTTTACACTACGAGAAGGAACGTATCACAGTAAGACCAGCGTCCCTTCTCCATAGTGTAGAAATGGGAGGTGCCAGGCTGGGATATACCAAAGATTGGCCAGCATTATGGGCAGGAACTGTCCTGGGCCAACGACCCTGTATCCTCGTGGACCCTCTGCAACACTCTTCTCCCAAACGCTGCCTCCGCCGAGGTGTATGAATCAAGTTTGTAGTGACGTATAAAGGGAGAGGAAGATGTCCATGTAGCCACCGTACAGATATCTTCCATGGAGGCCTGAGTAGCTCAGGCCGCCATCGTGGCTGCACTGCGGGTAGAGTGGGCCGTTATCTCCTGAGGCATCGGGAGAACTTGAAGCTCATAAGCACATGCTATACATGTCCGAAGCCAACGCCCCACCGTGGAAGGGGTCACTCTGTGGCCAAGAGTTGACGGCTGAAAGGAGACAAACAGGGACTCTGTTTTCTGGAAGGAAGAGGTATTGAGATATAAATACGGAGGGCCCTCCTAACATCCATCGTATGCCAGGTCTGCTCCAAAGCATGCCAAGGCCTTGGGCAGAAGTCTGGCAGGACCAACTCCCGTGCTCGGTGAAACAAGGAGTTGACCTTTGGAAGAAAGGTAGGGTCCAGCCGCAGGACCACCGTGTTGGAGTGAAATATACATAAGTCTTTCCTCACCGATAATGCCACCAGCTCCGAAATCTGTCGGGCAGACGTGACGGCCATAAGGAAAGCAACTTTACACGACAGGAGACGAAGACTAGCCTCCCTCAATGGTTCAAAAGGTGCCTTGGTCAATGCCTGTAAAACCTTAGTTAGGTCCCAAGTGGGATAACGATTATTATTATTATTATTAATTATTAATTTAATTTGTATACCGCCCTTCTCCCAGAAGGGACTCAGGGCGGTGAACAGCCAAAATTAAAAAACATACAAATGCAAAAGTTAAGACAATTAAAAAGAATTAAATCACTGGCTACCCAATTTAAAACCCCAAATCCATAAAATTTAAAATCCCAATTAAAAACCATTTAGGCTTGGCCAGCTTGATGAAATAAAAATGTCTTCAGGGCTTTACGGAAGGTCCGGAGGTCCGGGATCAATCGTATTCCAGGAGGCAGCTCATTCCACAGGGCGGGTGCCCCCACAGAGAAGGCTCGCCCCCTGGGGGCCGCCAGCTGACATTGCCTGACTGACGGCACCCCGAGGAGGCCCTCTCTGTGAGAGCGTATTGGCGGGTGGGAGGTTATCGGTAGCAGCAGGTGGTCTCGCAAATATCCTGGCCCTAAGCCATGGAGCGCTTTAAAGATGAGAACCAACCCCTTAAAGCGCACCCGGAAGACCACCGGGAGCCAATGCAGCTCGCGCAGGAGAGGTGTTACGTGGGAGCGCCATGTCGTTCCCATAATCACCCGCACGGCTGCATTCTGCACCAGCTGGAGCCTCCGGGTGCTCCTCAGGGGGAGCCCCATGTAGAGAGTGTTGCAGTAGTCCAGGCGTGACGTAACCAAGGCATGAGTGACTGTGCACAAGTAGTCCCGATCCAGAAAGGGGCGCAACTGGCGTATCAGGCGAACCTGATAAAAAGCCCCCCTGGCCACAGCCGTCATATGCTCTTCTAAAGACAGCCGTGTGTCCAGGAGGACGCCCAAGTTGCGAGCCCCCTCTGTGGGGGTCAGTGACTCGCCCCCAATAGCCAGCGATGGCACCTGCTGGCTATACTGGGACGCCGGCATCCACAGCCACTCGGTCTTGGAAGGGTTGAAGCCTGTTCCTCCCCATCCAGACCCGCACGGCCTCCAGACACTGGGACATCACTTCGAGGGCATCATTGGGGTGGTCTGGGGTGGAAATGTACAGCTGAGTGTCATCAGCGTACAGATGGCATCGCACCCCAAAACCACGGATGATCTCACCCAGCGGCTTCACATAAATGTTGAACAGGAGCGGTGAGAGGACCGACCCTTGCGGCACCCCGCAAGCAAAGCGCCTCGAGGTTGACCTCTGTCCCCCTGCCAACACAGACTGCGACCAGTCAGAGAGATAGGAGGAGAACCACCGCAGCACGGTGCCTCCCACCCCCAGTCCCTCCAGCCGGCGCAGCATGATACCATGGTCGATGGTATCAAAAGCCGCTGAGAGGCCTAACAGGACCAGAACAGAGGAACAACCCCTGTCCCGAGCCCTCCAGAGATCGTCCACCAATGCGACCAATGCTGTCTCCGTGCTTTACCCAGGCCTGAAGCCGGACTGGCACGGATCTAGATTGACGGTTTCATCCAGGAACCATGGGAGCTGTCGCGCAACCACACTCTCCACAACCTTCGCAACAAAGCGAAGGTTGGAGACCGGACGGTAGTTTGCCAAAACGGCCGGGTCCAGAGAAGGCTTCTTGAGGAGGGGCCTCACCACCGCCTCTTTGAAGGCGGGAGGCAAGAAACCCTCTCTTAGAGAAGCATTTATAATCCTCTGGAGCCAGCCTCGTGTTACCTCCCAGGTGGCCAGTACCAGCCAGGAGGGGCATGGGTCCAATAAACATGTGGTTGCGTTTAACCTCCCCAGGATCCTGTCCACGTCCTCAGGAGTCACAGGGTCGAACTCATCCCAGGTAAGATTCTCAAGACCAGCCTCAGACACCCCGCCAGGATCTACCCAGTCAGAGTCCAAGCCTTCCCGAATCTGAGCGATTTTATCGTGCAGATACTGTGCAAAATCCTCAGCATGCCCTTGCAAGGGGTCTTCCCACGCTCCCTGATGTAGGAGGGAGCGAGTCACCCTAAGCAAGGCGGCTGGGCGGTTATCTGCCGATGCAATAAGAGCGGAAAAGTGGTTACGCTTTGCCGCTTTTATCGCCACTAGATAGGTCTTAATATGAGACCTAACTAGTGTTCGGTCGGATTCAGAGCGACTAGCCCTCCAACCATTCTCTAGGCGTCTTTTCTGGCGCTTCATCTCCCTCAGCTCCTCGGAAAAGCAAGGGGCCGGGCAGGTTCGGCGTCGGGTCAGAGGCCGCAAAGGCACGACTCGGTCCAGAGCACCGGCGGCCGTCCTATCCCAGGCAGCCATCAGATCTTCAGCCGAGTCGTGAGCCAGAGTTTCAGGAACTGGCCCAAGCTCCCTCTGGAACCTATCAGGATCCATCAGGCGCCTGGGGCGGAACCACCTGGTCGGTTCCACCTCCCTGCAGTGGGGTGCAGCGGTCAAAAGGTCCAGTCTCAGGAGAGAATGGTCCGACCATGACAGGGGTTCAATAACTATATCCCCTATATCCAGACCACTCAGCCACTGACCAGAGATAAAAACCAAGTCCAGAGTGTGTCCTCCCACGTGAGTGGGGCTATGAATTAATTGTGTCAGGTCCATGGCTGTCATGGAAGCCATAAACTCCCGAGCCATCCCAGACGCCTCACCGGTAGACGGCAGGTTGAAATCCCCCATGACCAAAAGTCTGGGGGTATCAACCGCCACCCCGGCAATAATGTTGAGAAGCTTGGGCAGGGCTGCTGTCATGTGGCAGGGAGCCAGGAACACGATCAGCAGGCCTACCTGCATCCCATGGCCCCACTTCACCAGGAGAGACTCACATCCGGCTATCTGAGGTACAGTGGCCTCCCTCGGATCAAGACCTTCCTTTATAACGACCGCCACCCCCCCACCCCTGTCCTGGGCCCTTGGCTGATGGAATGCGCGGAAACCTGGTGGGCACATCTCTACGAGGGGGACCCCCCCTTGGCCCAGCCAGGTCTCTGTAATACCTGCCAGGTCCGCACCCCCCTCCTGTATTAGCTCACAAATGAGGGGGGCCTTATTAACCACGGATCTGGCGTTGCACAGCATCAGTCTAAGGCCTGGGCTCTGAGACTCTGGACAGCCGGGGAGACGAGAAGAGTCATGGGGGCCGAGGCATGCCACCGCTTGGAGATAGCGGGTGCGTGCCCCCACCACCTGATGTGGCCCCCTACTCCCGCCATATCTGCCCCTCCCAGCCACGGTCCTGATAGAATTGCCCTCCACTCTATCCACACTGAGCTCCTCCACACACCCCTCCCCGCCTTCCGTTCCATGCCCCTGTAATGAGCCTGACCTATGCCCCTCCCTCCCCACCCCCCGCCCTAAGCCCCTTAAAAGATTACAAAAAGACAATTTTAAAAAACCCCACAACCCCCTCTTTGCGGCATGCCACCTCTTGGGGTTCCAAAGCCCATCATTGAGGTAGGCCCTCGATAGAGTGGAGGGCCAAGCCTGCGAGAGGGGGGAGTCTCGCAGACCAAGAAGCTCCGCTGCGGAATGATGAACGATGAAGCGTAGGAGGTTTTAAATTAGATGCTCCATGCATAAATGTCCTCACCCTTGGATGGTTAGCGAGGGAGCCCCAGTCCCCAAAGGTCAATACTGAGCCCAGTGCATCCACCTGTCTCCTTAGAGTATTAGGGGAAAGTCCCAGTTCCAGGCTCTCTTGTAAAAACTCCAGCACCTCCGCCACAGATGCTGAAGTAGGATCCAATTGTCTCATTGCACACCAACCGGCAAACTTGTTCCACATGGCCTCGTAGATGCGCGTGGTTGAAGGCCACCTGGCTGCCTGCATCGTCTGGATGACCCTGGTAGAGAAGTTCTCCCATGTCAGGAGCTGCTACGCAACCGCCAAACGTCCAATTGCAGTCTTTGCAGGTCGGGATGCTGTACGGGCCCCTGGCAGAGGGAGACTCTGTCCAGGGTCTGGCGACAAGACAGGCTGACCAGGTCGGCGAATCACGGCCTCCTGGGCCAGTGAGGGGCCACCAACACAATCTCTGCCCCCTCCAACAACACCTTCCTGATGACAGCTGGGATTAGGGGTAGGGGAGGGAAGGCATATAAGAGGCCCCTGGGCCACGGGGTCCTCAGCGTCCACCCCCTCCGCTCCTGCGGCAGGAAAACGGGACAGGAAGCGAAGGTGGGTGTTCGTTGGAGAGGCAAAGAGGTCCATCACCGGTCGACTGAACCGGTCGACTATGTCCGCAAACAGGCTGAGATGGAGCCTCCACTCCGATGGATCCATGGTGGCTCAACTCAGCCAGTCAGCTTGGACGTTGGCCGCTCCGGCGATGTGATCTGCTGTCAAGGACAAAAGATGAGTCTCTGCCCATTGGCAAAGGGTCTCCGCCTCTAGCATCAGAGACCGTGAGCAAACCTTGATTACGTGGCTCAGTTGTTTCTTAAAGAAACAGATATATTGCCTGACCAACAAGTTAGGAGTAAGCTACAAGCTGAATCCATGAGTCCTCGCTTGACTGGGTCTCCAGAAACAGGGCAACGGGAGAGCCCTGTTCTTACTGTCTCCCTCACCCAATGATCTGATGTTAGGTCGTCCCAGCGGTCCGCAAACAGGGCAAGCCTGCCTCCAATAGGTGCCTGAGGCGAGTCGTCACTTGGATCATCTAGCCCCTCTGCCACCATTGCCCCTAAAGGGCTTGTTGGACGGCTGCTGCCTACCCCTGCCAAAGGTGGATCTATTGGCCTGGAAACTCGGCCTGGAGTACTGAAAGGGCCGATGCTGATGGGGAAAGCCTGGCCCAGCTCTCCCCTGGTGGAAGGAGGGCCGTCTATAGTAGGGTGATGGACGGAAATTGGGCCTCCTGCCCTGGGAAGGGAGTACCTTCCGCTTGTCCCGTGTCTCCACAAGTAAAGGATCCAAGGCCTGGCCGAACAACTAACCCCCTTCAAATGGAGCTGAGGCCAGCTTCCATTTGTTTTTACCGTCCATGCGCTAATGGCGTAGCCAAAACATACGCTGCGCTGTAACAGACAAAGCCATGGCCCGGGCAGAAAACCTGGCGGCCGCCAAAGTCGCGTCCACTGTGTACTCCGTAGCTGCCAAAATCTTAGATAGATCCTGATGAGCCCGTACATTGTCGGGCGCCAAGTGATACTGGAGCTGGCGCAGCTATTGAACCGACGCCCTAGTGAGGAAGGACGCCGCTGAAGATGCCCTCACAGCCCAAGAATCTACCAGGTGGGGCCCCACGTAGTGCTGTCTCCTCCCTCCTATCCTCCGCCTTCAAGGCGCCCTCCGCATCAGGTGGTAAAACGGAAGAGGATGTGAGCGCCGCCACTGGAGAGTCCACCTTGGGAACCTCCAGCAAATTAAGCATGGCAGCATCGACTGCAAACAGTTGATTGTCCAAACCAGTGGCCCTGGAAGCTCCTGCTGGGGAAGCCCACTGTCTGCGTATCATGTCCAAAAACATCCCTGGGATGGGTATGGTATCAGCTCCACTGCCTGTTCTGTAAATAGATAATCATCCTGCTCTCTACTACCCATGTCAGGACCGGAGAGCGATGGGGCCAGACCCAAACGGGCTGTAGCCCTGGCCTTGGCCAACAACGGTTTTAGAAGGGCAGGATTAAACAATCCCTTGAAGGGTGGCCTCGGATGTGGTTCCTGCTCCAAATCTGAAAATTCCCCCTCCCCTTGATAGTCCTCTGCATAAAAATTCAGTTCTGAGGGAGTAGTTGAGTCAGGGTCCTGGTACTCAACAGGAGCCGGCATAAGCCTCTGAGGTTCCACTTCCGGTCGGAAGACATACATTTGGGCGTAAGTCTGGGACTGCTGACGCATACCCTTTGCAATGCCCCATCTAATTGCCTGATCAATCCAGCCCTTCATAACTTGCGGAACATCCTGTTCCCCCATCTCCCCCTGGCGGAGCCCCACCACAGTGGGGGTGAAAGTGGCCTCAGGGGCCCGAAGAGGCGCCCCTGAAGGTCCAGGCTGCGGCTGAGAATCTTCCCGGTTCTCAGGGAATCAGGCCCGTGAGGATTCTGCCATGGAAGTAGCAGCCTGAATCTGCTGAACTGCAACGTCTGTATTTGAAGCAGAAGGGTGGTGGTCAGCAAAAGCAATAGGAGGTGGATCATGAGGTAAAACCCCAGCCAAGACGTTGGCAAATTCCCTGTCCAGAGCCTTTTGTCTAATCTGAGCCATCTACTTCTCTGCCTTAGTGAATCCCGATCGTGCCCTTTATGAAGGGCTGGCTCTGGCCCTAATCTTAGCAGCTGCAGCGATGCTGGCCATCCTAGGCCTGACTGGTGCCCTGCCCCTGTCGGACTGAGGCGACCAAGAGCCCTCAGCAGAAAAGGGTGCCTGTCTGCCTGACTCCTCCATGTCTGGTAGAAGGGGTTCACAGGTCCAGTAGCTCTCCAGAACAACTAACACCAATAACAATTCACCGAAGGGAAGGCTGAGTCCAAAAGTCACTTATGAGGTAAAGAGAACCCAAATACTGGCCTGATCCATGTTGACAAAATGGCCGCTGGAACTTCAAAATGGCCACCACAACCGTTGTAGTTCAAATAATCGGACTGGCTCAGGCTCACAGGATCAACCAGGTCAGGCTGCCAAGCAAACCCACAGGTTGTCCCCAAGGCTGGATCAAATGTCCTGGGCTCCCATCCGCTGCTGCAGAGAGCCCCACCAGCTCTGTGCCAAATCAATGCCGGGGAAGCAAAGCCGCCTGGACTCAAGGCCGCCAACAATTGCACGGGAAACAAGGTCGCTGAGACATACAGGCTTGCAGATGGGACCGTGTTGTGCAAAACTAAAAAAAAAAAAAAATTCCAAGCGCGGCCCGGCAGCTGGCACTGACCGCTTCGGACTTCCTTGACAAGAATGGCTGGCGCCTAGGCTGCGAGAGGCTGGCGCGGCCGTAGCGGTCCCACAACGGCAAAGTTTGAATCAGAAAGAAAGCCGCCCGCTGCACAGCTGATGAGCAGGGGATCAAAGGAAAAGCCATGCCAAGGTTTCTAAAGGCTGGCGTGGCTCTGGCAGCTGTAAACGAGGCTCCCTTCTCGCCACTCTTCTAAACAACCGGGGCGAAAGGCAGCTGGCTAGCACCCCCAGACTCAGCAATCTGAGGGGATAGGGAAGTGAAGAGGGTGCCAGACACGGCCACCCCTCAGCTCAAATCCGCAAGCGCGGAGAGCCCCCTGCAATGCTACAGAAATAAGAATCATGAAAACAAAGCAACAAGGAAGTAAAAAGACAAACAAAGGGGGAAAAATTATCCAGGGAATTATACTAAGCTCAACTCAAAGCTCTGGAGCTGAAAAAGTTGCGTCCATGAGGATAGGCTGAGTTGAAAAAAACTGAAGGAATGTCACCAAGGAGGCGGACCTTCAGAAGTTTCAACTCAGTCCATAGAGCTAGAGCAGAGAATAACCCAGCCTGGCACCTCCCATTCCCACAACCTATTCTGAAAATATTCTGTACATTATTTAATTTCCTTTTACGGTACAAAATAACATATTTCTGAATTGATAAAATAGGTAACATTGCAAGCCCCAAAAGGAGCTGGTTACAGTTACCCCTTCAGGAGAGAAACTATCATGATGAAGGTTGGTTAATAAATTTCAGATATTGTTTACATAATAAATAAAATGTAGTTCTATTAGTACTACCATATTTTTTGGAGTATAAGACACACTCCCCCCCCCCCAGCGGCTGAAAATTTAGGTGCATCTTATACTCCGAATGTAGCTTTTTTGAAGCTTTTTTTCAGCCCTAACGAGGTGCTAGTGAGTGAAGCGATCTCCGTGCTTCGCCTGCTTTTCTCATTGCTTTTCTCTCCAAAGATCAGTTGTGCTTTAGAAGCTGTTTTTTATCCCCAAGCAGGGGCTTTTTATCCCCTGCTTGGGGATAAAAAATAGCTTCTAAAGCACAGTTGATCTTTGGAGAGAAAAGCAATGAGAAAAGTGTTCTCAAAACCAGCAAACTAATGTGCTGAACCTGACCAGACTAAGGACGCTAGCCAGATGAATACCTGGTAGGCAGATTTTTTTTCCCTATTTTCCTCCCCAAAAACTAAGTTGCATCTTAAACTCCGGTGTGTCTTACTCCGAAAAATACAGTATATCTTGATAGGAGATAGGCAAGACATACCTAAATAGGTACTGCTTGCTTACTAATGTTAATGGAAATTTCTTGTATAGCAAAGTTTATGTCTTTTGGATATGGTTAAAATGGAAAGTTTTCATTTGAAATGTTTTGGAGTGATTTCATAACTCTTCTTTACTAAGCATTTGAAATCTTACTCAAATTCATAATTACTAACTTTCATAGATAGTTTAATTTTGTGATAAAAATATGGATGTAGCTGCCTGTCCCGTTTATCTTCTAACAAAGCTTATGGAACACATTTGGAATCAAAATGTATCCTTCAAAATGTATTCTTCAAAATCAAAAACACCTGATGACTGATTATACTTTATTTTATAGCATTCCAACTTCCAGTTTTCTTTAACCTGAAATAATTTTAATAAATATGAAAAGGTGGAATATGGTACTTGTTAATAAGAAATGTCCATAGGCACACTGGCACTCCCAAACAGCACATAGAGGATTTCAGTTACAGACCCGCTGCCAGGAGTTTGACATTAATTTTAACTGACAGCCTGCAAGCTATTATGGCTAGTAATAATAATAAATTTATTTACGGTCACAGACCAAAATGCAAGCATAGCTACAACAATTATGGAGCAAGAGAACACAAGGAGGCCCTCTAAACTGAGTCTAGCATTGTAGTGCCTTAAGTGATTATGCTACTGACCATACAAAGACCGGAATAAGAAAAAATAAAAATAGTAGAATTCAAATCAGCCAAGATCCTATTGGATCTTTTTAAAGATAAAGAAGGCACCAATGAGAAAATGATAGCTGAACAGTAGCTTTGAAATTGTGCAATAAAGAACATATAAAGTGGGTGAAGACGCTATCTTGCTCCAGTTTAAAAACCTTCAAAAAATATTTCAATAGTATCTTTTGACCATATGCTCTACTTGATGTGTAAGATTGCTGACGTGCCTCATTGGCAAAATTGGTCTTTTCTGGAAATAGAGCAATAAAAATGGGTGGCAGTGAGTTTGAAAATATTCATGAGATGATAAAATTACTTTATACAGATTTGGCACAATTTTTATACCTGGAACTATTGGTGGGTTAGAAAATTGTATTATGTTAACCACTAAAGAGGAAATACAGTATTTGAAATGTAATTTTCTTTGTAACTTAGCATTTTTATGTACAGTCATGATTTCTTGCAGAAAAATTGCTGATTTTTGCACTGCAAAGCATAACTTTATCTTACAGGGCAAATTATTATGCCTGCAATACCCCTAAATAAGAAAAGGGAAAATTTAACAATACTTTGCCTGAATCTGATCCATGCATCTGCATACACAAAATTTGTATGTTGAAAGAAAGAAAAAGAGAAAGATCTTCTGCAACCTCATACTTCCTAACAACTGAGACTGGAAAACATGGGGCTTGTTCAAATTGCTTAGCAAAGCTACTGAAAATATTAAACATTTTAGAATTATCAGATCATTATCTATGCCTTGCCATTTTCCTATACTTTTTGTGATGATAATTGTTCAGACATTAATGATAGTACGAGTCATGTCATAAAGTGTAACAGCATCACATGACTGCCTCACTTAGCAACAAAAATTCTGGCAGTCTTCGTTGATGTCATAAACCCAAAATGTGCGGGTCATTAAATAGGAAGCTGCAGGAGGCAGTGCTAAGGAAAGCCTGATGCAGGCTGTGAGAGCAAAAAGGCTGCAGGTCAGTGCTACTGTAGGGAAGATAGGTGAAGGAGGCTGCAGTGCTGCATGAGCACAGGGAAGCCGAGGGGCACCTACTGGTGCGACTTGCCACTTCCCTTGCCAGCTTGTCCATTGACATTTTGTGATGATCATGGGGCGCAGTAAATATCTTAAGTGTGAATTGATTACCAAATGTCCGAATTGTGACTATGTGACTGCAGAAGTGAAAAGTCATGGAATCAATCATAAACCAGTCCATTGCCCTCTATTTAGAGTCTAACAACCTTCTCTCTAACAAGCAATTTGGCTTTAGAAAAAAATTGTCCTGCAATCTGCAACTATTACACTGCAAAAACATATGGACTTCAAAACTCGACCAGGGTAAATCAATAGATGCAATTTATATAGATTTCTGTAAAGCCTTCGACTCAGTGGTACATGACAAGCTACTTCTAAAACTAGAATCTTATGGCATTTCCGGATTCCTGCATAAGTGGATAGCTGCATTCCTATCAAACAGGCAGCAAGTAGTCAAAATAGGGAATGCCTTATTTAATCCTGCACCTGTTAACAGCAGTGTCCCCCAAGGCAGCATTTTAGCACCTACACTCTTTATTTTTTATATACAGTCAGGTCCAGAAATATTGGGACATCGACACAATTCTAACATCTTTGGCTCTATACACCACCACAATGGAGTTGGAATGAAACAAACACAATGTGCGTTAACTGCAGACCGTCAGCTTTAATTTGAGGGTATGTACATCCAACTCAGGTGAATGGTGTAGGACTTACAGCAGTTTGCATATGTGCCTCCCACTTGTTAAGGGACCAAAAGTAATGGGACAGAATAATAATCATAAATCAAACTTTCCCTTCCTAATACTTGGTTGCAAATCCTTTGCAGTCAATCACAGCCTGAAGTCTGGAACGCATAGACATCACCAGGCGCTGGGTTTCATCCCTGGTGATGCTCTGCCAGGCCTCTACTGCAACTGTCTTCAGTTGCTGCTTGTTCTTGGGGCATTTTCCCTTCAGTTTTGTCTTCAGCAAGTGAAATGCATGCTCAATGGGATTCAGGTCAGGTGATTGACTTGGCCATTGCATAACATTCCACTTCTGTCCCTTCAAAAACTCTTTGGTTGCTTTTGCAGTATGCTTTGGTCATTGTCCATCTGCACTGTGAAGTGCCGTCCAATGAGTTCTGCAGCATTTGGCTGAATGTGAGCAGATAATATTGCCCAAAACACTTCAGAATTCATCCTGCTGCTTTTGTCAGCAGTCACATCATCAATAAATACAAGAGAACCAGTTCCATTGGCAGCCATACATGCCCACGCCATGACACTACCACCACCATGCTTCACTGATGAGGTGGTATGCTTAGGATCATGAGCAATTCCTTTCCTTCTCCATACTCTTCTCTTCCCATCACTCTGGTACAAGTTGATCTTGGTCTCATCTGTCCATAGGATCTTGTTTCAGAACTGTGAAGGCTTTGTTAGATGTTGTTTGGCAAACTCTAATCTGGCCTTCCTGTTTTTGAAGCTCACCAATGGTTTACATCTTGCGGTGAACCCTCTGTATTCACTCTGGTGAAGTCTTCTCTTGATTGTTGACTTTGACACACATACACCTACCTCCTGGAGAGTGTTCTTGATCTGGCCAACTGTTGTGAAGGGTGTTTTCTTCACCAGGGAAAGAATTCTTCAGTCATCCACCACACTTGTTTTCCATGGTCTCCCAGGTCTTTTGGTGTTGCTGAGCTCACCGGTGCATTCCTTCTTTTTGAGAATGTTTCAAACAGTTGTTTTGGCCATGCCTAATGTTCTTGCTATCTCTCTGATGGGTTTGTTTTGTTTCTTCAGCCTAATGATGGCTTGCTTCATTGATAGTGACAGCTCTTTGGATCTCATGAGAGTTGACAGCAACAGATTCCAAATGCAAATAGCACACTTGAAATGAACTCTGGGCCTTTTATCTGCACATTGTAATTGGGGTAATGAGGGAATATCACACACTTGGCCATGGAACAGCTGAGAAGCCAATTGTCCCATTACTTTTGGTCCCTTAACAAGTGGGAGGCACATATACAAACTGCTGTAAGTCCTACACCGTTCACCTGAGTTGGATGTACATACCCTCAAATTAAAGCTGACAGTCTGCAGTTAACGCACATTGTGTTTGTTTCATTCCAACTCCTTTGTGGTGGTGTATAGAGCCAAAGATGTTAGAATTGTGTCAATGTCCCAATATTTCTGGACCTGACTGTAAATGACCTTTGCAATGATATTATAAGCAACAGCATTCTCTTTGCGGATGATGTAAAACTATTCAACACCATTGACAATGCTGCTACTCTACAAAAAGATCTCGACTATGTGTCAAAATAGTCAAACAGTTGGCAACTCCAAATCTCAACCAAAAAATGCTCTGTCTTATACATTGGCAAAAAAAATCAGAACACAAAATACAAGCTGGACGGATATGATCTAACAGATGACCCACACTGTGTCAAAGACCTTGGAGTGCTCATCTCAATGATCTAAGTGCCAGAGCTCACTGTAACAGCACTGCTAAAAAAGCATTAAGAGTTGTTAAGCTAATCTTGTGGAGTTTCTTCTCTGGTAATACTGAACTGCAAACTAGGGCATACAGAACTTTTGCCAGACCAATTCTTGAATACAGCTCATCTGTCTGGAACCCACACTGCATATCGGACATTAATATAATTGAATAAGTCCAGAGATATTTCACAAGAAGAGTCCTCTACTCCTCTACTCGCAACAAAATACCTTATGCCACCAGACTCGAAATTTTGGGCTTAGACAACTTAGAACTTGGCTGTCTTCGGTCTGACCTAAGCATAGTACATAAAATCATCTGCTACAATGTCCTACCAGCCAATGAATACTTCAGCTTCAATCAAAGCAATACAAGAGCACACAATAAATATAAACTCATGGTAAACCGATCCAAATAGACTGCAGAAAATACAACTTCAGTAACAGAGTTGTCAACGCCTGGAATGCATTATCTGACTCTGTGGGTTTCTTCCCCAAATCCCCAAAACTTTAACCTTAGACTGTCTACTGTAGATCTCACCCCATTCCTAAGAGGTCTGTAAGGGGTGTGCATAAGCGCACCAGCGTGCCTACCGTCCCTGTCCTAATATTTTCTTTTATTCGTATCCTTTTCATGTATTTATAATGTTTACACTTGTATCTGTCATAAAATACATGCTTGAGGAAATAAATATATAAAATAAATAAATAAACTTCAGGAACTGGTTACAAGTATCACTCATTCAGTGTTGCTGCAACTTAGAATTGCTACTGAATGAATGGTCAGTAAGTAGGGACTACTTGTATAACTTTGCTAAACAGAAAAGCAAAGGTAACGAAATAATCAAGGATCATTAGCAGTAGGGGTTTCAGACTTTGAATATCATAGAAGTCAAGTTCTTTTTAATGCACACGTTTATTTTGCATAGTCCTCATGGTGAATCTTTATAATATGCCTTATAAGATCTGCCTTCATTTGACCATTATAATTCATCTAAATTGATTCTATGCCTATGCAGAACAGTGTTCAGAACCTTCTAGAATTTGAGATTGTTCATCAGAAGTCCCCCATGTATACCTGCAACTAGATGCAGTTTTCACAAACCCTTTTATTTTGTTTTGACCATCAAATCATTAGTAAAATACTTCTGATTGTTCTTCAATCCTGTTTTATTTAAATGATTTACCTCTGTTATTTTTAACTTCTCAAATATTCTCCAAAACAAAATATTGAAGTGTTATTCATTGGCCCATTTTGTCCTCCCATGATAAGCCATGCAGTGTAGTGTATGCTAGTTAGAGCTTTAGACAATGTTTATTTCACTAATGTTTTTCGCTATCTATATTTTGGGTATGTTCCATACTAATACTAATTTTCATATCATTATTGTTCCTTGTACTTATAGATGATGATGACCGACTGTCCCAGTTGTCTGCTCGATCTGCTGCTTCTGGTTCTCTTGCATCTCAGGTTCTAGAACGAGCTCAAAGAAGAAAAGAAAATTTCTGGGGCAAGATGTGATTGAATTTTGCTGTGCTTGTAATTTGTTTTATAGTAGGGTATTTTAATTTTTACTAGAAAAAAATAGTTAAATACTGGGGGTTTTTTTACCAATAAGGGGAAAGGATCTGATATAAAAATTCTGGATATTCAAATATTCTTTTTGATTTGGCTTGATACTCAAGTACTTGATTTGAAATATTAACTTATCCAAAATCTGTATTCTACCTCACTCTCAAAAAAGTATTATAAACAAATAGATTATATCATAAGCTATTTTTATTTAATGAATTCCAAAGGACTCCATATCACTTTTAAAAAGCAGTGAAATGGTGCCGTATTATAAGTTTCAAGAAATCCTTGATCTTATAACAGAAATGCAACATTAAACATGGCCAACAACCCCACAATGAAAAAGTTATGCGGAAGCAAAAACAAAGATCAAACAAGAATAAACTACCTTCTACTTTTAGGGTTTACTTAGCAACTAAGGATTATTTGTGTTATTCGTGTATTACTCAGTAATCCTAAATATATTATTTAGAAACCTTCATTCATTACATTTATTTATAACTTTTGTTGGATTCTTTATTATTAATCTCTGTGTTCCAACATGGACAATCAGTTTTTGATAGATCAAATACAGTTTTATTATTCTACAACACTAAACTAACTTTGCCCAGTTGGATGATCTTTTAAGATTAGTACTCCTATACTTCCCAGCCATTAGGACCAATAGCCATGTTGTTGGGAATTCTGGGAAAATTTTGGAAGAAACCAAGTCAGGGAAATTTTTTAAAGCAGTTTCTATTATGAAATTATCATGAGCAATACAGTCACCGTCATAAATATTACCGTCATAATAAATTTTCAAATACTTTGGCATTTCAATATTGCCCACCATTTTCCTTTACCTCAATATTTATATCATGATGACTAGGTTAAAACTGAAGTCTATTGCATTTCAGATTGTAATATTAACATGACTTGTTTAATAAAGCACATGAGCATGTATTACTCTTGTGTGATAGTTCAAAATTTCAGAGAAGATGCATTCTTGGCAGTCCATTTTCTTGGGTTTAAATGATAAGCTAGCCGTAGGTTTTGTACATGAGAATCTTTAGCCAAACTAAGAGCAAAATGTGTTTTAAATACTATGTTTAGGGACTAATTACTCTTCCCCAACTCTGTGGTAATTTGAAAAAGATGAATTAGGGATGTGGTTCCCTAGCTATTGGACACTAAATTTCATAATTTCTAGTCAACATGACTAGTGGTAAGAGGTTGAATCCAGCAAGTTTTAGAAGCAATATAGTTGGTCTTATACTTTAATAATTCAGAAATTTTCTTGATGTGATTATTGAGCATTGTTTTAAACTAGAATGAAAATTTATAGTAAATATAAAGGATATAATTAGTCCTTTTCACATATTACTGTTACTATATTTAAACATTAAAAAGATAGGATTTGTTGAAAAACCCTTGACTTTTCTGTAATATTTTAAAGATAATTAGATTTGTATGATGGGAAATCAAGTTGTACATGTTTTAAAAATTGAGTAATATTTTTGTATACAAAAAAATCTTAATTAGAAATGTTCATATCTGTGCCACATTTTCATGTTTTACTTGCAGTATCATTGTTTCAACATAAATTTCAGTTAATTCAAATTTTTGTTTTATTTTAAAATATATATTCAAACTATGTACTAATACATTTAAGTTGGCCAGAAATGTATTGAAACATTTGGAAAAACAGAAAATCTTGGTGTCTTCATTTACATATCAATCCAGAAATTATATGTAGATCAGATAATTTCATTTTCAACTCTGCAAAAATAATTTTTTTGAGATAGTTTTAGTTGAGGAAGAAATGTTGAATATATGAACATTAATTTAAGAAAATGAAGTAATGCTGCTGAACCATTCAGTTTGCTTTACCTGAAAATGATCCCAACTGATTCATTAATGTAACAAATTGATTATCTTTGCAAATTTTGGTCTTTCACTTTGGGACCAAACAAAGCAATTGCTTATTTTGAGTACAATAAATTAGGGTTTTGCTTATTTAATTCTGTCTGCCCAGCAGAATGAGTGCACCATTTTCTTACTGAGGTGTTCCTGGAAATATTTGTGCATTCAGATTTCTAGCACTCCTGCCTGTATTTAATCTCTGTAATTTGAATGTTACAACTCAGAAATGTGGTTATGATACAATTGCTGCATTGTAGCATTTATAATCACTCCATCTTCTGGAAAGGTTAGAAGCATAATTGAAGATATTTTAAATTTATAAAGAAATGGGATAGGCAACAGTCTGTCTCGCTCTAATAGCCATGTAAAGCATAGATGGCTAGAGTTGTCTGAATAGACTAATTAAAGTTATGAAATTGTTAGGTTCTAGTACTTTGATTAATGTTTTAATCAAAAGATTATACTTGTAAGTTTTGAGCCACATTGACATTCCTGCTAAACCAAAGAGTGAAGAAAGAATGTATCGACTTCTATCAGTTTTTATGTTGGCTGTCTTTAAATACAGATAATCCTCAATTTAACAACCACAATTGAGCCCAACATTTACGTTGTGAAAAATTTGTTAAGTGAGTTTTGCCCCATTTTACTACTTTTCTTGCCACATTTGTTAAGTGAATCACTGCAGCTGTTAAATTAATAATAATAATAATAATAATAATAATAATAATAATAATAATAATAATAATTATTATTATTATTATTATTATTATTATTATTATTATTATTTTATTTCTATACCGCCCTTCTCCCGAAGGACTCAGGGCAGTATACAGCCTATTTAAAAACACAGACAAAACGGCAATATAAAATTTAAAATAATTAAATAAATTGGCTCAGATTTAAAACCCCAAAAAATTTAAAACCATTACGTTGATAGTCCGGCCTGGCGGAACAACAGGGTCTTCAGCGCGCAGCGAAACACCCGGAGGTCGGAGATCTTACGAATTTCCAGGGGCAGTTCGTTCCACAGGGCTGGGGCTCCCACAGAGAAGGCCCTCCCCCTGGGTGTTGCCAGCCGACATAACTTGGCCGATGGCACCCGGAGGAGACCCTCTCTGTGGGAGCGAACTGGTCGGTGGGAGGCTATTGGTGGCAGAAGACGGTCTTGGAGGTACCCGGGTCCTATGCCATGGAGCGCTTTAAAGGTGGTAACCAACACCTTGAATCGCACCCGGAAGACCACTGGGAGCCAGTGCAGCTCGCGCAGGAGGGGTGTCACATGGGCACAACGGGTTGCACCCATAACCACCCGCGCGGCCGCATTCTGGACCAGTTGGAGCCTCCGAGTGCTCTTCAAGGGGAGCCCCATGTAGAGAGCATTACAATAGTCCAACCAGGAAGTAACAAGGGCATGAGTGACCGTGCGCAGGGCGTCCCGATCCAGAAAGGGCTGCAACTGGCGAATCAGGCGAACCTGATAAAAGGCCCCCCTGGCCACGGCCGTCATATGCTCTTCTAAAGACAGCCGCGCGTCCAGGAGGACACCCAGATTGCGAGCCCTCTCTGTGGGGGGCAAAGATTTACCCCCAATAGTCAGCGATGGCACCTGCTGACTATATCGGGGCGCCGGAAGCCACAGCCATTCGGTCTTGGAGGGGTTGAGTCTGAGCCTGTTCCTCCCCATCCAGACCCGCACGGCCTCCAGGCAGCGAGACATCACATCAAGGGCATCGTTGGGGTGGTCTGGGGTGGAGATGTACAGCTGAGTATCATCAGCGTACAGATGGCACTTCACCCCAAAACCACGGATGATCTCACCCAGCGGCTTCACATAAATGTTGAACAGGAGGGGCGAGAGGACCGACCCTTGCGGCACTCCCCATGCGAGACGCCTCGAGGTCGACCTCTGTCCCCCTGCCAACACGAACTGCGAGCGGTCGGAGAGGAAGGAGGAGAACCACCGCAAAACGGTGCCCCCTATTCCTAACCCCCTCAATCGCTGCAGCATGATACCATGGTGGATGGTATCAAAAGCCGCTGAGAGATCTAATAGGACTAGGACAGAGGAGCAACCCCTGTCCCGAGCCCTCCAGAGATCATCCACCAACGCGACCAATGCCGTTTCTGTGCTGTACCCCTGCCTGAAGCTCGACTGGTACGGGTCTAGATAGATAGCTTCATCCAGGTGCCGGGGAAGTTGTCGTGCCACCACGCTCTCAACAACCTTCGCCACAAAACGAAGGTTGGAGACTGGACGATAGTTGGCTAATTCAGCCGGGTCCAGGGAAGGCTTCTTGAGGAGGGGCCTCACTACCGCCTCTTTCAAGGCGGCAGGAAAGGCACCCTCACTCAGAGAAGCACCTATAATCCCCTACAGGATGGTGGTTAAGTGAATTGACTTTGCTTGTCAGAAGGTCGCAAGAGGGCATTACATAACTGCTGGACACTGCAACAGTCATAAATGTGAGTCAGTTGTCAAGTATTCAGATGTAAAATGTGACCATGGGGAAGCTACAACAATTGTAAGCGTGAAAAATGGTCATGTCACCTTTTTCAGTGATGTTGTAACTTTGAACGGTCACTAAATGAACTGTTGTAAATCGAGGACTACCTGTATCATAAAAGTTCTGCATGTGATGTGCATTTGATGCACATCACATGCTATGAAAGATATCCTTAATGGCCTTGTTATATGATTTCCAGAATGGATTTCATGCACATACTAAGAAAAATGTTTTGGCCAATTTGGTAACTAATATGTGTTGCTACCAGCCTTAACCTTCCCTGAGCTAGGTATGGGGTAAGGAAAAGACCCATTAAATGCTGAATTGTGGAGACCTTTTAAAAAAAAATTAAGACAGTTTGCCCCTTTGCAATCCTCTCCCTGCAACCCTGCTTTTAAATTCCTGTGTGATATACAATATGGGATGTTTTCAATTTGTTATTATTTATTGTTATTTATTTATTAACTTTATTTGCTGACCATTTTATTGTCAAAGAACTTTGGGTGGCTTACAACATCATAAAAGCAAGCATACAAACATTAAAAATTAAAACGAACAAAGGCTATATACTATACAATAAGTTTAAAACCAGAATACAACAGGATGAGGGTAGGATCTACTTCCTAGTCCACTCACCACCTCCGACATAGGACACCCCCATTGGGCACCGTCTTACATTTCAGACCTGGAATTTTCAGTGTTTCTGTAAGAATGGATGAATCATGGTGTTGTTCGATGGTGTCTTTGAATCCATAATTGTATCTGAAATATTTGACTAGCACAAAACAAGGCACCAAAAGAATAATTGCTTGGACTTAATGAACTGGCCCTTTATCCAGTTGTCTCACACATTAACCTTCATGGGTTTTTGCAGCTCCCCTTTTGCTTTCCTCATTCCTCATCTTATTTTTCTAAATGAAAACATAAGGTTGGAGTTACAACAATTTTGCAGAGATCCAAAATTGAAATCAATATTGAAATCAGTTAAATGTTGTTAGCCTCCAACAGTTTGTCACCTTTACTTTTTATTATCAAGAAATAATTTATATGGTATGGAAGAAGGCTACATTTTAGTATGTAGCCTTTATTTGCTGATGAAAATCTTAAAATTCTTCCCTGTCAACATCCAACTTGAGTATCTAAATCAATCCATATCAAGAGTGAAACATTGGCAGCTCCGTGCCTCTTTGTTTCAACTTGTCAGACTAATAAGCTCTCTACATATAATAAATTAAAACATTACAATTAGTTTGTATCATATTATTACATCTTCCTTTTATAAAGTTACTGATTTGCATCATTTTTGTGCATAATAATTTCATCAATTAATTCTGTACAGGCTGCTCAGAAGAAAGTTTTGAGTTCTTTGGGTTTCTCCAAATCTAACAGTCCCACTCTGGTGCCCAAGGGCAGCCCTAAAGCTTGGTACCTGCCAAGTTCTCTGCTCTCCAGTGCTTTGGTTGGAAATGCACTCAAGGCAAACTGTTTTGATAGAAGTATGGCTGGGTACTAGTAGGAGCATCCTTATGAGTTTTGTCTTCAGGTAAATGGCTGTCTTGTAAATTACCACACACATCAAAACATCGTAATTGATCAATAAACAAGTATGTGAAAGTTCTATTGAAATGTGCCCATTCGCTCAAAATGTCCATGCAGTTTTCCATAAATGATTTTAGGATGCAGTTCTAAACTTTTAATAAATCACTGCTTAAGAAACACCACATTAAAACTGATAATAAAGAAGCATTCATTCACTTAAGTAGGTCATCAAATGGAATATTGTCATGACATACTTTCTTTGATGGTAAAAATCTGAAAGGAATTGTTATACCTAAGTCACTGCTTTCATAGCTGCCATGTGGTCAATGAATCACCATCTCAGAAACAGATAAAAATGGTAGATAAAAAATACATTTACTATAATGGGCTTACACCTAATTTTATGTGCTTGTTTACTTCATTTCAAAGTGTTTTTTGAAAATGTCAGGTTGTACAGGATTCTGGTCATTGGTAGCCTTCCTGCTTTATGTGGTCCTTGGAGATCTTGATTGCTGAAGATCCCCACTATTTGTGGTGAGAAATATCCCAATATTGTACTGTAAGCCTGAAAATAGGCATAAGAGAGTAAAATAAAACAAAAACATTCTTCAGAAATGCTGGGGAATGGATGGGAAGAATTTTTTTGTATCAAAACGGCCCCATCTATTTTGCATCATTGCCCTATCCACTAGAAGTTTATATCCCTTCCAATCATTGTGCAGCATTCGGCTACCAAGGGTTGCTCATTCCTGATCATTTCATTCAATGTGCTTTTGTCACATTGTATAAGGGATATTGAGATGTTATGGCTTAATGTTACAATGGAAATGAATTTATATTATTTATATAAATGATTTATGGAGGTTTAGTGGCTGAAAATATCTGTGACAGTGCTACCAAACAATAGTATCTTAACCCCAAATACAGAATCACCAGAATCACATAGATGTATATGGCTCTATTCAGGTATCACATATGTACATGGAGAATAGAGGCCCTAAACAGAATATGCATTTTGGAGATGAATATAAGTCAAGGACCATTCAAAAATGCGTGAATGTGTAATGCAAAGAAATAAGCACAAATAAGTAGATAGGAAGAGAAAGACAGAACAATTTGTGGGTGTACATCTCAGAATTTGAAATGGATCCAGAGCAGAAGGTAAAGTAATGCCTTTGGCATCCGCCAAGCTTTTAAATTTGAAACTAAATAAATAATGAAGAAACTGGCATGCTATAAAGTGGCCCATTAACTAAAAACATTTATTTATCAAAATGTATCTGGGCCACAATTTGGTTTTGCATACAGGCTTAGAAAATAAACATGGCTAGAGGGTGTAGTCATTCCCCACAAACCTGAAAATAAAAACTAGGGTGGTAAGATACTAGAAAGTACCCTGCTATCTAATAGACCAGTGTTGGCGGACCTTTTCAGCACCATCTTTCCGGGCACGTGAGCCATCGCCCGTTACTCTTCTGCATTCCAGCGTGCCGGCCATCTAGTCTTCACGCATGTGGGAGCACTGGAAACCAAAAGAGCAGCTGCCCAATGCGCATGTGCATGCCAGGAAGGTGATCTTCCCGTTTCCAGCGTGTGCATGTGCACTGGCCAGCTGGTCCTCACCAGAAACTGGAAGATCAGATGGCTGGTGCACATGTACATGCCGGAAACTGGAAGATCATCTTCCAGGCATGCGCACTGGGCAGCTGCTCTTCCCGTTTCTGACACTCTCACATGCGTGAAGACCAGCTGGCCAGCACCAGAACCCTGAAGAGCAATGGGTGACGGCTCACATGCCTGGAGAGATGGCTCTGCATGCTACTTCTGGCACATGTGCTATAGGTTCACTATCATGGTAGTAGACCAACCTCACCATTTTGTCTTTTGATTTGGCCTTAAGTGCCCTTCTCCCATTTCATTCCTCCCCAATTAGGACAATCAACATTACAGGCAAAGAAATGGCAATTGCAAGCCAAACCATTCCTCCCTTCCATAAGTCAATAAGACTCCCTCCTATAAGAATAATTGTAGATGGTTATAAGAAAATTTCCGCTAGCTGGATCAATAGCCATAAATCTGTTCAGATGGTTCAGGAACAGCCAGTCTTGGTTTCATGGGTATAGAAATCATAATATTTGAGTGAACTGCTGATATTAAGTAAACAAAGATGCATAATGTCCTGGTAGCTCAAGTATAAAACAAAGTCCATTACCTGATAGATTGTAGAATAGTCCCCAGTTGGAAATGATGATGGTCAAAATGGTGAACTGGAACCGAAAGAAGCAGCCCATCTATAGGTAAGTGTTGCTACTTGCTTGTCTTGGTCTGTGTGTATATATATATAGCAAATATAATGATTGTGTACAATATTTCCGTTGCCTTTTCCTATAAAGGCAACATAACCTATATCACACTGTCCATTGGTGCTTCTCACGGTCAGAATAGTTTATAGGAATGTGGTGTATACCACACTGCTCATTCAGGGTGAGCATCTATTAGAGATTTCTATCAAACATCAGATTTTGCATCACAGACAATTTTCAGATTGGATCACAATATTTAGGAAATTTGATGTAAATGTACAAAGTTAGTCTGAAAACCCATGTTTGTATCATTAAATATTTGAAAGTTTTTTTTAAATGTCTAATCTCAGCAAAACTACTGTGTTTCCTGTTTCTGTGGTTAAAGAGATAAGAAAGATAGGTTTTCTGGAGAGATTAGCTACAACATGCAGAATGACTTAGTACTTAGAAATCTTGTTCTTCCAATATGAATAAACTGATGACTAATGGATATACAGTAACATTGGTTGTAAATAAGCATAAAGGGAACATCTAGAGTTGGAAATAGCTAGTTAAGTCATTGAGCCAAAATCTTCTTGGTACAGAATCCTTATTACCTTTCTTTCCAGAATTAATTCAATAAAGATTCTGACCTACTTTTATTGAGTAATTGGTTCCACTGTTAAACTTGTTTTATTCTTAGGATTCTTTTTCTAATATTCAGCCAAATCTGCTTTCTGATTGAGGCATTTGATTCTAATTTCCTAGAACATCTTTGTTATCTTGATATTTCTTTCTCATTTGATGAGAACCCACTGGTGAATTCTCTTATGAGTATGGTCAATATATATATACTTAAATCTCATGCAATCCATCCAGTTTTTAACTAGCTAGCTGATCAATTGTCATACGATAACTTTCTCAAATGCAATAAGGCTAATCTAGCAAGATCTATTTTTAACAAATTCATAGCATAGAAAATCCATTTACATTGTCCAGTTGTCAGATTCCAATGTACAATAATCCTAATTTCACATGCCAGCAAAATAATACTTACAATCACCCAAAACAAATTACACCGCATTTAGAGAAATGCTAGATGTTCTGGCTTATTTTGGCAAAAATCAAGCAACAAATTGCATTCTCTTTCAACCTTTTTTTTTAACCTCTCTCTCTTTTTTTTTTTTAGGAAAAGAAAATCCCTCCAGATTCAAAAGAGGTAAATTTGTATTTTCTAACCTTAAATTACATTATCAGACAAGCTGTTTATTGGTGTAGTAGTTAAACTGCTAGTCTAGCAGGAACATATGAGACCTCTAGGCTCCCTTAGGCATGATGGCCATTGTGTGACTTTGGGCCAGTCATTCTCTTTCAGCAAAAACCACCTCACAAGGTTGTTGAGAGAAATAGGAGGCAGGCAAATTTTCAGTGCCTTGAGAATGGAAAAAAAGCAGGTTAGAAATAAATAATAATTCACAATAGCAGAATGTCAATTATAGAAGGCTAGCTCAGGCAATAGACTCCAAGGTTTTAATAGTATAAAGAAGCAAAAGAAGACAAACGTGAAGGAACATGTTATAAAATAAAGTTTGTTAAAAATATGGCATCTTCTACAAACAAGGATAAATCTGGTGATATCACCCTGGGGTCATTTAACTTCAATAACAACCACTGTAAGAAAGATTTAATCACATATTCTCTGTGAAAGTAAAGGAGCAGAGTGAAAAGATGCCACTATGATTAAATATAAATAAGACCAAACCAATAATAACAGAGAGTAAATAGTCTTAAAATTAGCAATGAAGGTATTGAAGTCCTGAAGAAAAGCAACTATCAATTGTAAAGGAACCAGCAGCCAAGAGACTAGGATTTAGAATACTAGCCATAAGGACTTGGACAAAATGCTGCAATGTGTCTGTATCACCTAAGATCAGAACTATGAAGATAATGGTTCTGTAGAAACAAAAACAAAAGAAAAAGGATAGAAAGAGTATTAATGCTTTTGAACTTTGGTGTTGGGAAGGGATTTGGAAATGGATAATCAAGAAAACAAACGGATAATAGAACAAATAATTTCAGAGTGCTCACTTAAGGCACAAGTGGCCAGTATCCAAAATTATCATATTTAGGATAATTATGTGAAAATCTTGCTCCCTTATGAAGTCGATAATGCTGGGAAAGATTGAAGAAAAAAAGGAAAAGAGAATGACCAGCAGCAGGTTGATGAACTTGGTTACAGCAGTGATGTTTGTGTCATTGGTTGGGTATAGAGGCAGATATCCTGGATCAATCAGTGGTTTATTTATTTTTCATATGAGTGCAAATTCATCTAATTTTGTATTTGCATTTTTCCAAATGTTGAAATCTTATCCCCAATTTAAAAGAACATATTAGGAAAAAATTTGGGTGAGTGCAATTATTCATAGATATTCTATTTAATATTTCTAAATAAAAGCTGACCAGAGTCACCCTGTAGGAAGATTAGCGGTGTAAAGATTTAATAAATAAATAAATAATGAATAAACATATTTATTAGAGGGAAATCTGCATAATTGTATATCAGGCAAAATTGAAAATAAAATTATACTTAATTTTTTACACTAATATTCAATGGTGCACATTACTCCTAGATCCTTTCTGTCCATTCCAAGGAGAGATGGGGTAATTTGCACCATTGAATGTTAGTGTAAAAATTTAAATCAAAGTTCTCAAGTTCAACAAAGTAAAGTAGATAGATTTTAAAAGGTGAAAATCAAAAGAAGCCACAATTGACAGATTCCAGGTATATGCTGGATACATTAGTTGCCAATCTTTGTTTAAGTAGGCCAATTTGAATATATCTGAAGACTCAATAAGATGCATAGAATCGAAAAAGGGATTTGTTTTGTGGTCCATGTTTATGTTCCACTGGAATATTCTGAGTTGGCTGTTTCTGAAAGAATAAAACTTGTATCATACAGAATGTTGCTTGCTTGACTTGGAAAAACAGCCAACACCACAAACTTTACTGAATTTTGCAGCTTGCCCACACAAATACCAGCAGAATCCAAACCAAAAGTAACACTGAATGGAATAATTTCAATGAAGTCCATGAAAACATAAAAGTAGCAAAAGATATAGCTCTTCACCATTAATTATCATGATTGAAAATAACACGATCATGGCATTGACATAAACAAACAGCACAGCTTAAAATGTTTTATCTTTTTTTTTATTGCAAAAGTTTTACAGTTACATTTTCACCCCATTTTCCCCCCCATCCCAGTCCCCACACCCCACCCTAACCCCCCCAAATGCCCCCTAACCCTCCCCCCCTGACTTCCACAAAATATAATCCCATCAAAATCCCCTTTTTATAAAACTTGAACCCCTCAAACCCCCTTAAAAAATTTTTTTATCTTCACAGTTTTCATACATTTCTATTTTTATATAATACTTTCAATGAAAAACTATTTGGTACTTTCTAACTTGATATTTGTTCTGCACATAATTTATCCATTTTTTCCATTCCCATTCATAAGTCTCTTGTGAGCGATCTTTTAAATATGCTGAAATCTTCGCCATCTCAGCAAAACTGGCCATCTTCAAAATCCATTCTTCGATAGTGGGTAAAGCTTCATTTTTCCAATATTTACCTATCAATAATCTCGCTGCAGTTATCATGTACAATATCAACTTAATTTCATCCTGTGTAAAACCCTTTACTATACCCAATAGAAACAATTGTGGAGAAAATGGAATTTTTTTCTTCAAAATATTCTGCATAACCCACCATATTTTTCTCCAAAAAGCCTTAACTTTCTTACAATTCCACCAAACATGATAATATGTAGCATCTAAACAATCACATCTCCAACATTTTGGCTGAACATTAGGATACATACAGGATAATTTCTTGGGATCTAAATGCCATCTGTAAAACATCTTGTAAAAATTTTCCCTCAAATTCTGCGATTGCGTAAATTTAACATTCTGAACCCATATTTTCTCCCATGTTTCCAACATTACTGGTTCTGCAAAATTCTGTGCCCATTTAATCATGCAATCTTTAACCAGTTCAGTTTCTGAATCCCTTTCTAACAAAACATTATATAGCCTTTTGATATGCATTGGACCTTTCTCTTTTATATGTCTAACCAACTCTTCCTCATGCAACATAATACCAGTTTTTTGGTCCTCTTTCCATCTCTGTTGAAGTTGATTATATTGTAGCCAGGTTATATTAATCCCTTCAGCCAACAGTGTCTGTAGTGTCTTCAGCTGCCATCTGCCCGCATCTGTAAAAAGAACCTCTTTATATAAAACCCCCCCGAGTGACATTATATTTGTATTCCACAAAATATGACCAAGATCCAGCCATAGCGGTATTTTATAATCCCATTTAAATCGGTGCTTCTTCCAAACTCTCATCAGCGAATCTCTAAGTATATGACTTTTGAACACTTTATCCACTTTATTTTTATAAAATAAGTAAGCATGCCAACCAAAATCCAGGTCAAAGCTTTCTATGTTCAGTATTCCAGTCTTTTTCCTTCCAAACCAATCGCTTGCTTGAGTCAAAGCTGCTGCTTCATAATATATCTGTAGGTTTGGAAGTTTAAGGCCTCCCCTCTCTGGAGCATCTTGCATAATTTTTAGTTTCACTCTCGGTTTTTTCTCATTCCAAACAAACTTATTCACTCCACTTTGCCATTCTTTCAGTTGTTTATCACTTTTAAGCACCGGAATCATTTGAAACAAAAAAAGAAATCTTGGCAAAATGTTCATCTTAACTGCTGCTATTCTTCCAAGTAACGAGAGCTGCAACTTTTTCCAGGTCTCCATATCTTTTCGTACATCTCGCCATAACACCTCATAATTGTTTTGAAATAATTTCATATTTGATTCTGCCACCTGAATTCCTAAATATTTAACCCTTGGTACAATCTCAAAACCTGCCATCCTTTCAAGTTCATATTTTCGATCTTGTGTCATATTTTTAACTATCATCTTTGTTTTTTTCTGGTTCAGTCTAAATCCTGATACTGTACCATAATCTTTTATAATGTCTTTCATCTGGATTATTGATTCCATCGGCTGTGAAAGGGTAACAACCAGGTCATCTGCAAATGCCCTTAGTCTGTAATCCTCTTGCCTTATCACTATACCTTTCAAGCTGTTCGAATCCCGTATTGTATTCAACAAGACTTCTAATGTTAAAATAAATAACAAAGGGGATAACGGACAACCTTGTCTTGTTCCTTTCTCAATATTAAAATCTGTTGTTAAACTTCCATTAATAATAATCTGTGCCTTTTGCTCTTGGTAGATTGCTGATACCGCCTGTATAAATTGATCCCCAAAATCCATCTTTTTCAAAGTCTTTAATAGAAAATTCCAATCCACTCTGTCAAAGGCCTTCTCCGCATCCAAGAAAACCAGCACTGCAGGGATCTGTTTATTCTTCTCAAGATATTCCAATAAATCTATAACTTGCCTTACATTGTCCTTCATATATCTACCCTCTATAAATCCCGCTTGATCATCATGAATCACCTTTTGAATTACTGGCATCAACCTGTTGGCTAGTACTTTTGCATAAATTTTATAATCATTATTCAGAAGAGATATTGGTCTATAATTCTCTGGTTTTTTAGGACCTGCTTGCTCTTTTGGTATCAGAGAAATATAAGCTGTTTTCCATGATGGGGGTATTTTACCCCCTTTTTTGTATATTACAAAATAGGTCTCTAAGTTGTTCCACCATTTCTGCTTGCAAAGTTTTATAATACACTGCAGTCAATCCATCTGTTCCCGGAGCTTTGGCAGTTTTCAGTTGTTTAATTGCTGCAATTATTTCCTCCACTGTTATAGGATGATTCATTCTTTCCTTTTGTTGATTAGTAACTTTTGTAACTCTTTTGTTTTCTAAATATTTATCTATAAGTCCATTCTGTATATCAACTTTAGCATATAGTTTAGTATAATAATCTACAAATGCTTCTTTAATTAATTTTTGTGGATGAATTTCTTTCCCTCCAGTATCAATACAGTCGATAGTCTGCATACTCTGTTTCTTCCTTAATGTATAAGCCAGCCATCTGCCCGGCTTGTTGGCATTACAGAATGTATTATGCTTTGCATATTGTAAGTTTGTTGCAACTTGATCCGCCATAAGCATTTGGAATTGATCTTTCAAAAGTTTTATAGCTCCATGTATTCTTTCATCTGCTGGATTTT